ACTCTGCTGAACCCTACATCACCAGCAACAAATATGAATTCGATTACACATATATGTACGATGATAAACTCAAATAAAATTAAGTGAGTTGTATAATTACTATGTTGTCATTGAAAAAGATTTTCTTTTCTGTAATAGTATCGATGACGTTATTGATGGAATCAAGCGAAAACTACTAGATAGTGATACACGTATTAATCGACAAGTATTAAATGTAATGTTCTTGTCTATTAATTTTTTTTGAAGCTATGGGTATTGAAAGCTCATCTATTATTATTATTTGTAGAAATCGATATAACCCGATTAATGGATTAAGCTTTCATGGAACATTAAAAATATCGTGAGAATAGAAAATATGGTGCTATTCGAGGATGCGTCTCGAATGTTATTCTGAGTTAGTGGGTTACTTCTATCGGCATGATTGTCACGCTTTATTTTGTATTCGACAGTTTTCCCTTCAGCTAGTTCAGCACATTATTTACAATCTTATACAAGTGTCTAATTAAACCATGAAAAGTATAGATGTATGAAGACAACATTCAGCATCAAGGCAGTTTACGAAGACGAGCCTATTTTCAACAAATAATGAGTAAAAGAAAGACTGGTTTAAAAAATTTCTTGTGGAAACAGTTTTTACAGAGATTTTTATATCACACATTATTCTATCTGTTGTATATTTTTATCAGATACTTTCCACGATCTCAACGAAAGGTAACAGCGCTGTTATAAAACACATCAAGCAAAGTGGTGACATCGGTGGAGCACTTCAAATATTGATCGAAAAAGTATGCCAACGGAAAACTTTTTATTTATGTCTTATCTTTCATATAGGATGCGCTCGGCCTAATTACAATTGAAGCTCGTCAACTTTTTCAACGTTTTGAATTTCATAGAACTTTTGTTAGTGATTCACCAAAGTAAGTAAATTTAGTTTTGCTAGACATTTCAATGCTCTTATCTTATTCACAAATTATTTTTGGGTGAAAAAGTTTCGATGATTTTATTAACAAATAGATAATCATCGCTTCTTCGTTTTTTATGCATCGTTTCTTATTCTAGAGTTGCACAAGATAGACAGATTGTGAGATATTTCTTACAATACATCTGTGCACATTAAACGTCAGCATTCAGAATACTAAGATCGCCGTAAGACTTAAAAATATTTGGTTGTTATCTGAATAACTTTAGTGCACAAATAGCTAACAGTATGCAATCTTTACCGTTCAAAAGAGGTTTTTGAGGGCCATTTATTTCTAAATATCTTTTTTCGTGCGAAAAATTGTAGAAACATAATTTTTAGACCAAAAGAAAGACTTAAAACATTTGAAACATATAGCTTCCTATAGAGCTTAGTGAACTCTATAAATAGTTAGATATGTATATTAGATTGTTTGAATATTTTGTTTCGGAGTGAAAATCGAAAAACCTCAATCTTGAATTGTATTGAATGAATATCATGTTTTCATATGTTTTTAGGAAAGTTTTGAAAAAAGAAGACAACAGTTACCCAGATGAGTTCTTCTGATACAACATTTAGCAAACAAGGGTATTATGATCTCCTCTATCGAATGATGAAAACTGCAGGTTGCTAGCCATTTGTGCTCTTAGCTTATTTAACTCACAGCCTAGTACCTATAAGTCTTGCGCCGATATTACCTTGTAGTTTGCGACCAAATTATCAGTATTATATGAGAAACTCAGATTATATAAGTATAGACTTGTTCTTATCCTCTATTGATCTATTAGATCTCCACTATTGATTTTTCTTCTTGAAACATAAGGATATCTATGAAATCAACTCTGATTCCATCGTATTCGAGGTAGCGATTGACTTAGATCTGTAATAGATAATCGATACAGAGTATCTGTGCAAGATTTTTAACTAAAGAAAACAGATTAAAACATTCTCCAATATATGGATTATATAAAGCTTCCGGATCTTTCAGTGATTCATTTTCAAGTCAAATATCAAGAAAATAAATATAATATTTATAGTAATCTAGAAACTTTCAAACTCACTAGACTTCATTGAAATAAATGCGAGCGTTTATGAAGCCCGATAAAATAGATAAAAAAATAAGATTAGTCAATATATCACTATTACAGGAATGAAAATATATTCTTTTTGATTTTCATAAAAACTATCTGTCTCGTAAATTCTGTTTGGTTGTATAATCATTAATCTAGTTGCTAATAGTCAAATTAAGAGGGAAAAAATATATAGTACGACAGGACTAGAATTGATATGAAGTCAATATACATAGAATTTATTCAATTTATCATCTTTTTTTGACTGATGCAAATGACTAAGTTTGCCAGTACATCAATATAGGTCTATCCATATGTGTTTACTTTATCTTAAGCAATATATTATCCTTTTACAGTAATATCCGGTTCAATAGCATATGAAGCAATGAAAAAATTACTTTTATAAAGTAATTATAAATTTCTTAATACTTTCTTCCGATGATATATAGCTGCTTGTGTTAAGCAAATAACTACGACAAATATTGTCCGGACTTTGTTTTCTTTTCTCTCTCGTTGTTCTTGTAATAAGAAATGAAAAAAATCGGTATGTGTCTTGGGTATATTTTAAAGCAACTTAGCAGCAAAATTGTTTTAGTATTTGCTTCAAAATATAATTTTGTAATGTTTTCAGATCTACATCAAGTTCGACGATTGAACCACGATATACATCTCCATATCGTCCAAGCGATATTACGGATCATGGAACAGCATCTGGCATAGGGCTTAGTCCAACTGAAGTAGCTAGGTCGTGGTTACATAAGAAATTCCGGAACACAACGAAATTTCCTTTTCCACGTGAAAAATTGCGTTAGTTCTTACTTCATGTATTTTTATGCCATAATAACTATCTTCTTGTAATCATTTTATTTAGTCATTAAAGATCATAATCAATCTTCTATCAAATGTCCTGCAGCGGATAGGACATCATGTAATATAACCTTTCCTGATTCATTGGATGTAGCAAATGTAGCCACGTTATTGGGGCATACATACCAATTCCATAAGCCGGTGTATGAATACATCACAGAAAGCTATGAAGCGTGGTGTGAAGAGAAACACGTAAATATATTTCTTAATAAAACTATTTCAAGCAGACATCATAACACTTTAAATCAATTTTTAAATCCGTACTCTTTTGATATAATTATCAAGACAATAGAAAGAATTCTCAGTACTGTATTTTTTTATTCTTTGATTTATGTATCGATAACAAGATGAACCATTAGCCTGTTTATATGAATAAATATTCTGAATAATATTTAAATATCATTGATAATTCAAGTAAATAAGAGAAATGCCTTAATTATTGAGAATATTGTTAAGACTGTTGAATCTTTCGATGAACATAAAGGAAAACTTAATTCTTTTTCATCATTTGTTATATGATAAAAAATACTATTTAACTCAAAATGTTTTTCATCACCTATATTTACTTTCGTTGTAGCTACGCTTTGTTTTATTTTATATATTCATATAAAGAAAATTAAAAATTAAAAATTAAATAGAAAATAGAAAATAGAAAATCGTATTCGGTGTTGAGTTTAAGCGTTCAAGGGGTTATTAAAACTAAAAATGATCCTTGACTTGATGATGGTAAAAAGAAAATTTCCCTAATATTTTTAACTACTGGTTCAGATTAGCGATGTTCCTGTTTGCAATTAGGTCCATATACATTGAAGAAAAAGATAGATTAATTCCATTGATAACCAACAATTTATTAGTCTAAGAGAGATTCTAATGACTTGAGTTGTCGAGTGAAGTTATGATAGAAGTGTTATTTATTTGCTCTGATTTTCATTTTATAAAACACATGGTGTATGCATCTTATTTAGAGCTTGACCAGTAAACCAGGGTAAATATTACATTTTGTTTTTGGTCATATAGTCATTCTATGTATGTTAGAAGTTATTATTGATCGTTGTTTCGTCTCTTGCAATGTTTTTTTTATTGCTTCTTTAGCACGATTCTTCTCATAACCAATACACCCCTATTTAATCTATATAGATTGTATCGTTATCTTACACTTTTGTTCCATCTTAGGATACACCATCATCAACTTCTGAAGTGTTGTTAACAAGTACAGTTGGCAAGGATTTATTTGAAAAAGGTTCCAAAAAAATACAGTCATCGCTATTATTATTACCGGCAACGACATCAAACGATATGAAATTTGCATCATCGGTATGTTGATAAATACAAGATCATATATTCGTTCAAAACATAGACAATAAATATTTCTTTCTAATATCGAACATTTCTTCGTCAATATGTGAAAAGTTAAAAGATATTTAAGTATTATCTTTAACATAACTAAATACTCAGACCATGTATCACCACTGTTTGTTTTTGGATCGAGAATATTTTAGGTTTTTCTTCAACTAGAAGAGTCATCTTTCGAGCAAAAACATCTAAAAATTATCGCCTACAAAACTAGCAATGTAAGATTTCAGAGGAAGAGTTCTTCAATTCAATCGTGTATGTAGATTATTAATTTCTGTTAAGTGTGCCTCGCTGGATCGACTTTAACTTAATTCTGAAGAATTTTGATTGCGATGATGTAGCAATCAAAATCGTGTAAAATTAAGCCCATTCTTATTCAGTCAGATGTTTTCAGCAGCATTTAATAAAATATACAACATTAAATAGAAAAAATATTACTCTACGAGTCTGTATATATCCTGTTCCATAGACAAAAGTCACTATGCAATTCATAATACTCTTTCATTGAATTGAGTTAGTGAAAAATAGATATTTTAAAATCTTGAAGATCATCGATAAGATTTGTCATTTTATTTTCATAAATTTGCAATCGTAGGTTAACATTATAATTCAATTTTTCAGTAAGACACTTGATACGATGTAAAAAAAAATAGGTAGAACTACTTTTGCTTTTCGCTGCTATATTACTACATGGGGTTAAGAACGTTGTATACCTCATCGCCGAAACGAACATTATCGAAAAAGAAGATCGCCGAAATGAATATAATCAAAGTAAAAATTATCAATATAAATGTGACAGTAGAGTTTAGAATCTAGTTGAGATTGGAATTTTTCATTATTCTATAAATGTTGTGAGAAAGTGATTGATAGAAATAAACTTTTGTTAGCGAGTGTGATATGAGATAGTTTGATTGAGTATGTAGCTTAAAAAAAAAAACACTTTTGTTTCCAAGATTAAGTGTGTCTATTTTTCCTGGTTGAAGGGAAAAAAACGACAAAGATTCTGAAAAGATGTTTATGTTTTAATGCTCGGGACATTGGGGCATAGGGACATTTATTTTTTTTCTTTCGTTCTGTATTCGAAGAAAAGAAAGAAAAAGATTTTCGCTATCGTTATTTCGAAGTAAGGGTCTCGAGCAGCCCAGGTCGACTGATCCGATATTGGATCCGATAGGAACCTGGAAATATCCTACAATCCGATACAATCCTATTGGATTCCGGGTTGAGGAATCGATGTCGGATTCTCAGTGTCGGAATCCTATGAACTTCCGATGACATTCAACGGTTTTTCGTTGGAATTCATAGGAATCCGACACTGAGGATCCGACATCGATTCCTCAACTCGGAATCCAACGATAATTCTATAAGATCTGACAGGATCCGATAAAATCATATTGGATTCCAGTCGGATCGGATGGGTTTCGATAGGTGCCTACTGTCGGATTGCTCGACCTGGGAGGGGGATGGGAATGGAACGAGTTTTTATATTGACTTATATGAAAGGAAAGTAAATGGTTTTTTTTTTAATTTTTAATGAAATTAATAAAGAAGTTTCTTATATGAGTAGTCCATTTGATGTGTTATTATCTGCAATCGTTCTTCGTTAAAAAAAAATAAGCTTATATAAAAGAAACTTCGTAATTTATGTCTAATCATTGTCTGTTTCATAGTGGCGAATATCAGTTATTAAAACTTAAATTAATAAAGAAATGAGGACAAAAAAATTAGATATTAATAGATTCTAGTAAATTTTTAAAGTGTAAATTTCGGATAAATAAGTATTTATTTGATGATGTAACATTATTGTCATAATCAACGAAGTATTTCATTTCCTTTTAATATTAAAGTATCAGTTCAACAACATACATTAATTACTTTATGACTCATACAAGTGATATGAGAGCGCGTTGAGATAAATGAAAAATAAGAAATATTTTTTTTTTGTTTTGGTCATGAATTTGAAAGAGAAATCTAAATTATGATCAATTAGAAAATAGTTTGCCAAATTTAACTCAGAGACAAAGTTTCCATATCATTCATATAAATTTATTTGCATTTTGATTTTCGAAATTCTTTTTTCTTTTCTTTTCTTTTCTTCGCTCTGTTTTTTGTCTATCGTCTCTATCTTTAATTAAATCTATTATTCCAATCTCAACTAAATTCTCATGTCAACTGTAACATAAACATCCGAATTTCTTACAAATGACACTTTCAGCGATTTTCATTTCGATAATGTCTCTTTCAGCGAAGCGGATATTCACCTCATGATTACTAGGTTTTCACTTTGTTCATCATTAGCTATTTATAGCATTCACTTTCCCTCAGCTGTAGAAAAACGATAATTAGAGAAATATTTTTAATAATTTATATTAATCACACTCAATGGAAGAATAATTAATATTTGAATTTTATTTTCAAAAAGTAGTAGTCCGACCGTTCATAGTGTTCTATTGAAAGAGCAGATGGTAAATAATGGATGAGTATGGAAATGATTCGTTGTTCCAAGTGAGAAAAACGAATGAGAAGCGGAAAAAGAAAGAGAAAAGATTGATATTCATTGGTCAATTTGTGAACAATAGCTACCAGCGTTTTGTGTCATATATAAGTAGAATGTATTCATCTACATTGATCAATATTTAGCTTTTTTTTTATTATACTTCAACACTAGTTAAAGTATCTTTGTTTTGTCCAAACGATTGTCAGCATCAGGAAAACAAAAAGATGGCTGGAGAATTTCCACTAACACAATCTCGTGTAAGCATATGTCTATTACACAACTTAATCATTAATAAAACAATAGATCTCCCATGAACTAAAAACATCTCACTCTTACAGAACGTAGTGATTTTAGTTTTTACATTATGTAACACATCTGAAAAAGCTGATTTTAATGTTTCACAGATAAAACTAATTAATTACGCATCACAACAATATCCGACTGAATTTAGAGTAGTTGCTCAAATAAAATGTACATAAATGAAAGAAAATAGTGTTGCGAATATATTAATTTTAGAATGAAATTGAGCTTTTTAATAATTCACATAGAAGCATCGAACATATTCCACTTAAAAAGATTATTCGAGACTAATTGGTAATAATCGAAAATCTTTTACTTAGTTCCGTGAAAATATTCTGATACTGGATAATTTCCATTGTACTAGAATAAGAAATAAATTAATTTTAAAATGTTATCATGTCATTTAGAATGAAAGCATGGTCAAGTCGCTCCAACATCACAAGATCTTCCATGGTCTCGCCAACAAAACACATGTTGCAATAGAAAATTACTCAAATGGCATCATGACACATGAGCAATTATTAGCAAAGCTCAAGATAATTAATGGCGAATATTTACAACAGATTGATCAAATATAACTTTTTTTTCTTTTTCTCTCATTTAAACAATAAATGTTGATTCGTCATTTATCTTTTTTCTGTTGTTCATATTGTGTACTAGCCGCCATGGATGAGTGGATATATTATCTGACACATATTCACAAGGTACTATGTTCAAACCACAGTAACACCAACTAGGGAATGACCCTAAACAAGTCACTAACCGCTGATTGCTTCGGATTCGGATGACTCATCCAATAGCGTATAAGCTATCATTAGTCAATATGCACAGTCAAAACACACAACTCCAACATAGATGTCGCGACCACGTGATCTTATGTTGATCGTGAGCCCAATAATCATAAATCGTGGGAGCATTGGACAAATGGGGTGCAGATACCGTCGTCCGTAAAAGAGAAAAAGACGATATAATCTGGCTGCTTGTAGACCCTTTAGTGCCAGGTCCAACGGGCTTCAAGCCTATGGGACAATATTATTATATTATGTATTGCTAAAATACTGAGTCTCTTTAACAATGAGTATACAGGCGTTTGTAAGAGATCAAACAATCTAGCTGAAAGTCTTTCATGTAGTTGATTATATATATAATTTAGGTAATAAGAAAGGTCAATTTTTGATCTTGTTGATTCGCATTAGCATCTACTCACAATACAACAGAACAACGAAAATTTAAAAAGAGATTTATATGAACAAGACAGATAAATGGCAGATCCAGAAAATATTCAGTATAATTAATCGTTTCGATATTTCTCGAATGTCTCGCGTATCATAATAAATGTTTCGTTGCTTCTAAATATTTACTTGACAGAGTATGTACTGTGGCATAAGTACAAATGAGATTACTCAAACAAAAACTACGCCGATAAATGTGATTGTTCTTAATATGTCAGAGATGCAACCAGGCGAGATTTAATAAATCAGTTGATTGGAATAACATATCCTACTTGTGAAATTTCAGTTTCTATCGACTCCGTTCCAGTGCTGGAATATATTTCAATGTCAAATATTTATTTTGAAGAAAATATTATATAAAAATACACTCTGATCGATCAAATCCGAAAATAACTTTACTAAGATAAGCTTCTATGTAAAACATGATATATTCTCTGTTGAATATAGTTCAGACCTCACGAACATCAAATATATTGTCAATTAGCAAAGCACTTAAGTCAAGTATTATAATAAAGACTAGATTGTTTAATAAATCTCATGGCCTTCAATGTTTTTCTAATAATATCGAATCAAAAAAAAATGTTACAAGTCAACTTGATTAAAAGTGTATCATGGGTGAGAAAAACGTAAGTTTGTTTGTTTCGGATTACTGATCAAGTAGCAGTACTCGTTAGTTTTGTGGGGTCACTATTTTTTTAAATATTTTTCTCATGAACATTATTAAGGCGTTTTTTGCTTTTTACAAGTGTTACTAATAATGTTTATTCCCGTTAAAATTCTGTATGACTAATATATTCTTGGATACATCTAATAATTATATAGCTTTTCGACCATTAGATGTCACTCGTTATTAGTTTGTTTATTTCTCTTCTTCTCATTGTTGACAATTGGCTTATAAATTCCTCCAGTGCTGTATTTTATTACGATGTTTCTTCTATTCCCTATTACTTTCTATCTGCAAAGTCCTTCTGAAGGATTCCTTTATTGATGGTTTCAAAAAACTATTAATATCTAGTTTTAGACTATCATCCTTAAAATTGTATTGACCTATCATCATAAACTATGCATGCACATTTTGCCCAACCACATCAGGTTAGATTTTATATTACTTTCATAAACTTTTCATTAAATCTGGTTTTGTTTTTTTGAAGGCAGCTGCAGCGGTAAGAGATTTTTTTTCTTCAATGATATCTTTTATGGTAAGTTTATGAAAATATAATTGAAAAAAAACAGGCAGCCGTAGCAGCAGCGGCGATGGCCGTATCGAATACATCGTCAACGTCATCAACATCTGAAGCGCATGCACTAACACCAGTTCATCATACAGCAACAAAGACTGAATGGATGGAAGCTATTGAACAACAACGTTTAGAAAGATCAACATTGAATAGATTAATTATTAATTATCTTGTCACTGGTAAATTTTGATAAGAATTTATTTCTACATATATATATATATATAATTATATTTGTGTTTATGTACTATAGAAGGATTTAAAGAAGCAGCAGAAAAGTTTGCGGAAGAAGCTGGTATATCCTTGAATAATATTGATTTAACATCGCTTGATGAACGTTTACGGATTCGAGAAGCAATTGAAACTGGAAGAATTCAAGACGCAATTAGTTTAATAAATACAAAAGCACCTGAATTACTTGATCAAAATCGACAATTAGCATTCCATTTAAAGGTATTGATTTATACTAGAACCCATGATATATTTCCATGCATAAAATTTGTTCATAGAATTAATTTTTTCTTTCGTATAAATTGAACGAAAATGTTGATACATCTCTTTCAAAATATTCCTAGTTTGCTGATTTATGATAAAAGAAAACTTTTTCAGTTTAACTTAAAAATATCACACTGATTGAAAGTGAAACATGATTATTTATACTAGTACATCATGCTTGTGTGAATTATGTTTTTCTGAAATATTTATGCGGTAAACAATTTTACCATACTATGAACTTCCATATTCATCATAGATATTTTATTATGTTAGTAGGTTTATTTGTGCATGACTTTCGAATAAAATATTTATTAATGAGTCTAATTGTTTAAAGAGATTCTACAGGAGATAGTGCTTGTAAATAGAGTTCTTTACCGTAAACTAGAAAAATATCTTTGACGCTTATCTATTATAGAGCAATATCAAGCTAAGAAAGTTGTATTCATTTTACTTTTTATCAATTGTAGAAAATGATAAATTTTTGTTTTTTGATTAATCAATAAAAGCAGAGAAAAAGGATTTTTATTTCAGCAACAACACTTGATCGAATTGATACGCTCAAACTTAATAGACGAAGCGTTAACCTATGCTCAAATTCATTTAGCTGAATTTGCAGAAGAAGAGATCAAAATGCGACAAGAATTAGAAAAGACGATGGCATTGCTTGTTTTCGATAAACCACTAGAATCTCCTTATGGTTATCTAATGCAAATATCTCATCGGCAACAAGTTGCTAATGAAATCAATAGTGCATTGCTTATTTATCAAAATGATGAATCAGAATCAGATTTATCCATGCTTGTTCGAATGGCTACCTATATGCAAGAAAAACTAGATAATAAACAATTACGTTATCCCAAATTGGTTGATATTGCTGGCGGAAAATTAGAAGACTCATAAAGAATTTTCTTACATTTTGTCTTGTCTTTTTTCTTTTCTTTTTTTTTAATGTATAAATTCATTTGATAATTGTTTCAAAGAAACATCAACTAAGACTTCGAAATATTGAAAATTTTATTAAATCAGAATAGAAGATTGAATCTCAAATACAAATAAAATTTTTAGATGGCAACTGATTGGACAACCAAAGAAAAAATTATTTTAATATCTGATATACTTGAACATGGTGATCAGCCAGAAAGTTGGTCAGTGATTTCAACTGATCTTTCACGAACATTTCAAACAACTATTACTTCATCACAAACAAGAAAAGAAGGACGTTATTCAATTAAAGTTTGTTCATTTGATGTTTGCTTTTATTTATGATTAAATAGTTGTTCTCTTTCTTTTTTTTGTTATTAAAATAGAATTGTAAACAAGAGTATAAATATCTTGTCAATCGTTACAAAACTCAATGGACTGAACTCGGATCATCAAATGGTTTAAAATTACCTTTAGCAAAATATATTTGGATACAACTTAAGTCAATTTATCAAACAGAATTAACACATCAACTGAATGAAAGTAGAAAAAAACTAACAGAATTTTGTCTCCGACTTGAATCAGCAGTAAATATTAAATCCAATATGATTGAACCAACACCTTCGTATGTTATGAAATTAGATTCAGAAAAATAAAATGTTTTTTTTTTGAATTAACTTAGATTATCAGCTATGGTCACAGCAACTCCTCTTCTTATTCTTCAAGAAAATGAACCAAAAGAAGAAAAAATTGAAACAATCGAGAATATTTCTCAGGTGAACATAATCACATTGAAACAAAAATTTCAAAAATTTTTGAAGTATAAAAATACTGCAAAAATGATTCGTTTTCTACAAATAATTTTTCAGGGGTAATCTTCAGTATGACCTGGAGACAAACTAGAAGCTATGAATAGATATCTGCAAGATCATTCTGTGAGACAAAAAAAATCTAGAGAATGGAACTAAAAGTTATAGATACATATTCGATTGATTAAACAAGCCATTTTATATATAATATTAATGAAAATATAATTCAAGGCAAATGACGTTAGAAAGTGTTAGTCGCCAAAATAGTTCATCTAAAATTCAGTATTGAAATATTTTTTAGATTTATTACGAATAAATTCCAGATTAGTTCTCTCTAGATCAAAACTTGAAAAAGAAACTAAAACAAAACCAAAAGGTTTGATCTACAAAATATTTTGTATTGACTTCATGGAAATTCTAAGTAATCGTAAAATAGAAGATCACAGTAAATCTTATGGACATATTTTTCTTTGAAATATTTTATTCTTCAGTTTTCATACTTCTTTCAAACTAATAAAATAACAAACACTCGATTCATTTAAAAAAGAAGCTATTGTGATATTCATCAGATACTTTAATTAAGCTTTCTTATTTATTTACTAAAATTAAAATAATATTTCATCCACTAATTCTAGCCGATCAAAGAAGAACCATATGTACCATCGAATGAACCTCAACAATCAATTTTATCTAATGAAACTAGTAGTGATCAGTTGATTGTTTTTCTCCTTATTTGTCTACGTCATATGATTGATTTTAGCTTTAACACTATTCGATAGTTCAAAAGAAACAATAACGACGTCTACTCTACCAATTCTTGACGAACCACAAGTCACGGAAGTTCCTCATGAAATACCTGCCAATGAGATTAAATATCAACCTTCATTGACAAGTTCACCGAATTCAAAACAAAATCTAGCAATTATTGACGAAGATATTTCACAATCAATACCGATCGATTCTCCTTCCATGAATACTTTATCCGATTTACAGTCATCTATAACTCAAACTAGTATGTCTATTCCTCCTTCAATACCTTTAACAAATACTGCAGTCAGACCAGAATCAGTTTCATCATCAAGATCAACATCAAGAACAAGTTCCGAAACAAAAACAGATGTTGTTAAAGTAAAACTAAAGAAACACTTTTGAAAACAATGAATCGAAGTATTTTTCTTCTCAGATAATTCCAACAACTACCCCAAAATATCATGTTTATTTCTCTCCAAAAAATTCTATTAGTAACAATCTTGGAGCAAATAAAATGAAATCAAAACGAAAAACAATAGATGAAATTAAAGATGAAAATGAAACTGAATTAATAAATCAACCAGATTTATTGTCGTCATCAACAGAACAATCAAAAGTACTATCATCAACTGCACCGATGACTCGTCGTTCGATAAACACTCGCTCAGTACCAAATACTGCTACTGAGCAAGAAGAAGAAAAACTAAGAAGGTAAAATTTATAACAATTTAAAAAGCAATATATTTATTCTTCACCAAATAAATCATATTCAGATTCTCAGCAATGCTTTCTGAAAACCCAAATAGTTGGCAATCACAATCAATGGCTATTATTCAATTTATTCTCGCACACAAGTATATGAAAGTTTTTCATGTTTACTTAATTATTAAATTTCTTTATTTTTAGACAAGGATATTTATTTGAACATGAAATAACTGAAGAAATTGCACCAAAATATCATCAATATGTTAAACGTCCAATAGCTCTTGATACAATTCGAAAAATACTTGAATCTAACGAGTATCAAACAAAGGAAAATTTCAAACGTGATATATATTTGATGTTATACAATGCAATGAAATATAATCCACGTTACCATCATGTTCATCGATCAGCAAAACATCTTTTCAACATAACACTTCCATTTTTTAATGTAAAATTTTCTCTTTAAAAAAAATATCTTGTATTTATTTATTTATTCATTTTCTTGTTAACCAGTTATCAGCACAAGAAATTCAAGAACAAATAGCAGCAAAAAGTAATATACCATTACCGACTACTACTAATGATATTCCATTGGCGAAAAGAAAACGAACTAAAGTATGTTTTTAATTAATAGAAATTTTATTTTCTAACAATTCGAAATTTTATTGTAGTGATGCATAATGTTTAACAAATATATGAAGCAAGATAACAAATAAAAAAATGTCTTAATCGATGTAAAATTTATTTTCTGTTTAAAATGATTAAAATAAATCATTCAAGCTTAATTGAACATGATGTTTTAAAAGACTTAACTCCTCTGATTTCGTTTTTGTACAAAGCTCGAGTTATCCTTTGTTTATCTATATATTTCAATCATTGTTTAATAATCGTTTTTGCCATTTTTATCTATGGAAAATCTTTAGTTTTGGAAGAAAATCATCTTTTCTGTAACAGATATCTATTTTTCGTTTATCTTTTGTCATTGTTTTGCAGGCCAATTTTTTGCAATGTTGAATGTATTTTTTGAAAGGAAGATTTCTTTTTAAGGCATTTCAAATATCATATCATCCTATTTGAAGCTCATTGTTAGATCGCAGCGCTTGAAACATTTAAATGACCAACTGGAAAAAGTGTACTTCTGTACTTCTTCGCACTTCTCCATAATTACCGGTAGTGCTGTACTTCAGAAATACAATTTTCACCTTTGCTATAAACTGTAGAAGAAATATGTCCAATTTAGAAAACAAGTTCTGTGTTGTTATCATCCGTGAACAACGGGGCTCAGAACTTTTAATTACAACTCTCATAAAAATTATATGCGCAATAAGTTAGTGTGATCAAAATATTCAATTTGTGTTCATTAAATCCAATTAATAACGAAAAGACAAGTTGAATCAATCAAAATAAGGTTTATACCACACCCTACTTGAATCAACTGACTTTTTTCAATACATAGAATGTTATTGTTTTTTAATTTGATAATCATAGCATATGAAACGTTGCTTTGAAATAAATGAATGTCATTGTGATGGTATACCTACTATTAAGATATAATACTGACTATGATTTTGTTTTATTTAAAATCTTTCAATAGTGATGAAAAACAGAAAATCGATTCTGACTTGTTTCTTTTTCTTTGCCAAAGAACTAAATAAAAGAAAAGTAATGCTTCAATGGAAAACGAAATAAAAATAAATTAGTTGATCAAGTTAGTGCCGAGATTAGTCATGAATAAATAAATAAATAGCCAGTTTCAATTTTATAAAAAAAGATCATTGATCGATGTGATTCGGGGTTCTTGATCGTTTTAATAAAACTAAAATGGTTCATGTTAAGTTCTCCTCTTCATAGATAGAATCATTAAAACTAAATGATCAAATAAAAATCTTTTTTAATCACGTTCATCCGATATTTTCGTTTATTATTTTCATAATAGCTTCCGCAATTATAATATATACATATATGTATCTCGTAAAACAGAAGTAATAAACAGCAAAACCAAAACATAGAAAAAATGTTTTAGTGACAAAACAAATACATAGATATCGTCACCTATATTCTAATGAAACGAAATAGAAAAAAGAAAAGAGTACTGAATAGAAAAAAAACAAAGAGTAATATTGATTGTTCAAGCCTAATTAGCATTTCAAGAAATAAACACACACACACACACACACAAACAAAACAAAACAAAAATAAGATAATATAAAATGTATTATTTACATCTGAATCTTCTACAAATAATATCGATGATAATTATTTGTTGTGGTTGGTCGTGTTGGTGTCGATGAAAGTGATGAAAACCCTGATAGATGCTGTCGACGAGCTGTAGGTGGTGTCGAAAAACCTAGTGATTGATATTGACTATTTATCACACGATGAGATCGATCACTTGAACTAGTTGTTTTCCTTAAATACAAAACTGATCATTGAAAAGCAAAAAGAATAATTTTCTTTGTTACCAATTGGAACTATTTAATGAATTTTCTTTTGATGGTCCAGGTGTTTTTTGTTTTGGTTTAGCAAAATTTACCTAAATTAAATTATTTAAAGCCGTGATTCTTTTTATTTTTTTACTTACAACTAATCGTCGTCCATCGACAATTTCTTTATCCATGCGTCGTTTAGCTTCCAGCGCATCTTTTTTTGCAAGAAATGTTACAAAACCAAAACCCTTTATAACAAAAAAAAGAAAACAGAAGTAAAAAGTTAAAAATTTCATAAGATAAATCTCAAGTTTACTTTAGAACCACGTTCATTGTAAACAACTTCGACATCAAATGTTGTTCCAAATTTCTATTTCGACATAAAAATAAAAATAGTTAATTTTTCAAAAATAGAAAAAAAATACAAACTCCAAAAACTTCAGCTAATTTTTCTTTCGACCACGTGAATGGAATATTTGATACATGTAAACGCAATGTACCATCGCTATTATCATCATCATCACCATCATCATCATCAATTATATTTAATGATGATAATGGAGTACTCTAAAATAAATGATAGTTAAATATATATAAAGGATTATGTTTGGGGAAATCTTTACAATTCGAGCAGGCGATGGTCGTTGTATTGGTGGTATAGTTTGTTTTTCGTCTTTAAATAAATGAGAACGTATTCGGTTTTGTAATTTTTCAGACCAATTCTCTGTTTTACTTCCACAATGACAACAACTCTAAAAGATGTTTTTCTCATTGATAGAAAAAGATTAGAAAATAGAAATAGAAATATTTACACATGGTTGATGTTGTGATGATGAAGAAATAGCTGATGACCATAATGGTGGATCAATATCAATATGAGCAAATGCAGATGAAAGTGGCCATCCAAGTGGTCCTGATGGTAAAACTGGTGAATCAGAATCTGTTGAACGAGTTGGTGTTGGTGAAAATAATCTTTGCACTGGAGATTGAGAACTTAATGATTGAGATGATGGCCATAAATCACCGTCCTAAAATATTTTATTCAATTGAATTACTAATAAAAAATAAATGAGAAAGTTATTTACAGTAAAGCTCGAACAGTAGCGCGAAATATCGATGAGCGTTGTTGATGAAATATTTTCTTCCATTAGATTCGATTTGCCCAAACACAAATAAAATTTGTTTTTTCGTCGTTTTGTGTCACTACAACTTCGACGATGATGGAAAATGATTATAGATATTTACATTTCGTCCGGCATGAACGTTAAGCAGATGAAATATGCACTCCATAGAGGAACGGAAAAAAATCTAGGGTTCAACAGTTCATTTCAGTTAGACTAAACAAGCCTGAAAGAATAGACAATGAAAAACATGTTTTCACAAAATTCTTCCTTGTAGATTTACGTATAAAGCTAATTAATAATCGATATATTGAAATATTCTTAGGCGAAATTCATTCACTAATTTATTCGTCGAAAAGATAGTTTGAATTAAAATTGACGTTATCAAGTCTCATTTCACTATGTATATCGTTGTTCCAATACAAGTTTCTCTATTAATGCTTTAGGATTAAAATTTATTTTATGACTATGAATAATACTGGTTAGGTTTTTAGAAATCATTTTTTATCATCTTGTGTTTCGAAGTTACCTTGTATTCTATTTGTGAATCGTTTTGAAAAACAGACTGATTTCAAAGTACAAATTATCTCTAGGTTAATATTTCATTTGATTTTATTATCTTGTCATTTCGAAGTAATCAAGCAAAAACTTAGACGGACACATGTCAACTATAAAAACATAAAAAACTGCGTAGTCTAAATGATTTATGCTATAATCAATGTATCATTAAAATTACTTTAATAAAAAATTTCTTTTTCAATGAAATTATTGAGCATTTTTTTAATTTAAATACTGATGAATAAATCAGCTGCAACTATGATGTCGTTTATTAGCTACATCTTGAGAGAATTCCATTAGCAACCCCTATAAACATCAATGTTATGAAATTTCTACTGTTCTGTTCTTTTCTTTTTTTCCTTTTTTTCTTTTTTCTTCTTTCTGACTATTTTTGTAGGCACCGAAGAAGATGTAAAAGAAAATTTTTAAATGGCATCGAAAGCAGCTCCAACAGCCACTGCAATACGACGTGGTAATAGTATTCATTCAAGTTTAGGAACTATTGCTCCATTAAACACACCAACACGTCGTTTCTATGGTTCACAAGATCAAGGATTAGGTCATACACCAGGTGTGCCTAACCCGAATATATACGTTGTTCAACCATTTAAAAATGCATCAATACCTAAAGATCTTGTTTATGCGAAAAAAGTAAATTACATTAGTATTTATTGAGAGAGAATCGTTTCTCCAATATTTAGAATGCACCTAATCCTGGTGAAGCTTTATTGAATTCAACTATGGAGCTTATTAATCATTTTACTTCTTGCTATGAAGCAGTTAAACATCAATTACAAGATGAACATATAAAAGGAAGAGAAAGCTTATTAAATAGTAGACCATTGACTGTAAGTGGAACACATGATACTGTTAGTACAAGTGTCCTTCATCGACCGGCTAAACAAGCTAGGTTAGTTTTATAAATACAAACTTATTAAAATGAAATTACAATCTAAATAATTAGACTTCGACCATTAATTCTCCACCAAAATCAGCAATCTCGTGAAGATAATCAAGGACCATTTATTCAAGATTGTGTTGGTATTTCACCAGGTAATTTACCGACAAAACAGACATCGAAATCAAAGTTTAGTTGACTTTTTTTTGGTTTTATAGTACCCGAAACGAAAGTAGATGATCTTACCAAAATTTATGATGAAAAACTTCGTTTATTACGTACATTAAAACCTGAATTATTTGATAGTCAAGGTAATCTTATATCTCGGAATCCTCCAAGAACCTATTCGTATAGCCAAGCTTCAGAACCATCGTCGAAAAAGTATTTAAGAAATTTGCTTTGCATACTAATCTTTCACAATAAATAAACGAATATTTATTTATTTATTTATATATAAATAGATCAGCTGCTTCATCATTTCGAACTCCACATAATACACTTCTAACATATGAAAGTAAATATTATTAAAAAGATTGACCAATAGAAAATATTTTGAAATAATTTTAGATATTCCATTTGATGAACGTCGAACATTTTTAACTGAATTTACAAACGAAGAAGAAGATAACGAGATTAATGAAGATGGAAAAAAAACTATATCTCTCGCGTCTCTTCAACCAACCAATTCATTAAATGAGATTATGAAAAATAATTATGTTCTGAAAGTCCTTGAAATTAAAACAATGACAAATACATCATCGAAGCGTGATCGAACGAAATCAGCATCTGATAAAGGAAGTTATTATTCACATAAAGGAAATGCGACAGCTAAATCGACATAAAATTGTTTTAACAGTTGTGATGATTGAGCTTTTATATTTTATTTTAACAAATGATTTTAACTTGAAAATACATGAAACAGTACACAAATTAGTTTACTAAATTCCTTAAGTTTTATCTATAAATTGAAATGCAAGTATTGTGACAACAGAATGATCCTATCTTTTTCAATGGCTAAATAGGAACTTTCTCTTTCTTAGTTGCATTCTATTTCTAAGACAGAAAAAAAACGAATATTCTTTTATAATCTCACAGAACTTTCTTAGACTTCATGAAAATCTTTGATACAAATTCGAGGGTAACTGCTAATATGGAGAAAGATTATTTTTAATTATAATGAGTCTGACGATTTTGTTATCAATCATGTTTTACCAAGATGTTCAATTGTTAGGTTGCGCATATATAAAAACTTTTTTACATCACAACGAACTGATAGTCATGTGAAATCATCACCGAATAGAATCCCACTAGGTCTTAATATATGCCAATATAAAACTAATTCAATTAATGTTTCACCTTGTTCATGAGCTGAATCAAGATAAATAAGTCGTGAACGAAATTGATACGTTCGAAGAAAACGTGCTCCTACTATTGATGACATTGAAAACAGGCAACATTGTGTTTGTGAGATTTTTTTCAATAATATTAGCAAGAAATTGATAGTAAACAGTTGGTCGGTCATCGTCAGTCACTGCCAAATATTCCTAAATATCTTTGTTTACCCATATGTTCAAATTTCAGAAAACGAAGAGTAATTCGTAAATAAAATAAGTTGATTCATCAAACTGAACATAAATCCTAGACACAAACCCGGATGAATTTGGATCGAGTTTTCTAACGATCGAAGTAAAAATATTTTTTGTGAGAAAAGTATGTGGATAGTATGAATTCAATGCTTGATTGAAATGCTTTCATCCCAATCGATAAATTAACTTTGACGATGAATTTCCATATAAAATAGAATGTAATCGATCAAATGCTGCATTGATCTGAGCACGAGTAAGATTAAGTGGTCGATGGCCAACTGCTACGGCATTTAAATTTATTAATTCTTCTGGCATTGATAGGGATTGTAAATAATAGCATATGTTTTCTTCAGGATCTTTAAACATGAGATAAATATATGAAGAATTTTTCGTTGCATCCGTTTTATTGTCGGTTAGATTTCGATCAGTTATTAAAAATTTCAGCTGAGACTTAATATTATTCTTTTAAGTAATAGATATTATTATAATAAGGAACAATACTACAAACCATTTATTCGTTTGATTCAACATCTAAAAAAGATCATGCTTATATTGTTTAAATGTTCTATAGTTATTAGTAAGAATTGATTCAAAATATAAATTTTTTTAGCAAACTTGCTTGATTTTACAGTTAAAGTCTTGACTGAAAATGTTTCAATTCTTTTCATAGACTTCATTTATGTAAACAATAGCTACTTTACATTTATTTTAGAAGCCGTTCAAGCCACGATTTCAAACGAATGAAGAGTGTTGCATAATAAACTACATTCAATCCAGTTCAGATGAATATCGTAGTTCTTTATATTTAGAGAACTTAAAATACTTTTTACTTCTCGTCAACATAATGTGCTATGAATGTAAGGGCAAATCAATTTTTCACCGATTGTTTATCTATCATTTTCTTAACATATTTGATTGGTCGTCTTATTCTTTCATAAATTTATGAGGCTTTTGTTTTTCAACATGCGCTGATTAAATCATTTGCAATAGGAAATATGAACAACCAATATCAGTTTTTCATCAATCTATCTGTTTTTTTTTGTTAGAATAAAATCAATATCTCTAGGAATCATTTAGCGCAATAAATAAAATGATAACATAATTCATAGAAGTAAAAATAATCGTATTCCGTCGTACTTTCTATTGAAATAGATGACTTCTATATTTGCAAAACACTTATTTGTGTTCCTTGGTCAATAGGAATCGTTGTATATATATAAATAGATGCATAGCATTGGCCATTGTTGTATTTTGTAGTCTGAGAGTATGAGCTTGAGCACCTAGTTGAAATTCAATGAAGAAACAACAACTAAACATAGCTGTACATGTCAACAACAGTTAATTAGATTGATTATTCTATGCTAATTTCAGATATATTGTTGATAATGGCTTTGACAAGAATTTTTCTAATGAAAATTCGGTAAAAACTTACTGTTCACAAAGACCTGCAAGTATAGATCAACGATAGGATAGTTTAAATTTCTTAGGTGACCGTTGAGTTCTTGTATTTTAAAACCGATAAGTTATTTTATGCTATGAATATTTCATATATGTCAAACTTGAAACTTGAATTCAATTGAAAATTTTCAACTTTTAAACCAATAGCATAGTGAAGAATCGTGATTCACACATATATCGCTATGAGTTGAAAGCTGAAAGTTGAAATTTTCTATTTTCAACTGAATTCAAGTTTCAAGTTTGACACTACTGAGTTGCTGACTACATAAGAACCGTTAAAGTACTATTATTCAAAAAAACAACTCAACGACATTGTTAATAATCAAAGAAATCTAAATTCATTTACTGTGGTTTGATCTATTCTATCACTAATTATTATTTCTGACTAGATGAAAGTCAAATTTCAAAGGATAATTTACGGTCATAAAATATTTTATCAAAATAAGAATTTTTTTACATTATATCAACTTTTTATTATCTTTTTATGCATATCGAAGTGAATTGAAACTTAGTTAATGTATTTCGGAACAAATCAATAATATACACACAGTAGTTTGAAAAACTACTATTACCAGATCGCAAATAATTCGAAAAGAACAATTATTTCTTTTTCAATCCCATTAAAATTCTCCGCCAATGAGCTTCTGTCATAAGCATTAACTAATTCTCTGGTAAATCATATAGAACGAAATTATCAACCAAATCTAGATGGATTAAACCGAGTAGACATGAATCAAAACTTTTACTAATAACTTTCAACACTCGTGTTATATGGTGCTTGATACAAGAATTGTTGTTCTCTGTCAATTTTTTCTCTTCTTTAATGCTGATGGTGTTTTTGCTGAGAAAGAATGAAAAGAGGTGTTATTTGAATACAATAAAAAAGTATTTCGAATAAAGTACTTGTGAGTGAATTAATTGAGATGCATGAAAAACTATTCCAATATGAGTCTAACACATTTTTATTACAATAAGAACAATAACAAATTTTTATTTAAAACAAAAACTAGACTAAGCTTTACTCTTTTGTTAACGGTAAAACTAAATTGAACAATTAATTATGAGGCAATGTACATACATTGATCATAAACATAAGGCAAAGCAAAGAAACATAAAAATGATCTTGGCTGAAAAGAATCGAGAATATTTATTTTACATATTCCTCATATGATTATGTGAAGTGTTGATACTATCTATGCCAACTCTTTCTATTGTAGATATATTTATTCAAAGAGGTCTACATAATACTTGCTGAGGTAAACACATAGATAACAGATTCACAGGTATTTCAGATAAGCAACACCTCTTTTTGTTTTTGTCTATGCATGCTTTTTAAGACATTTGTATGTGGTTATCATCGATTCTCTACATGATGCACCAGTACGTTTACTTTCTTATTTTTTTTAATATTTGTACTTCATATACCAATACAGTCAATACTCAAACAAAGCCCTACACAGTTACTAATGTTGCGACAAGAACTTGGACCGAAGCAATTATTCTTGCTAAAGAATTTGTCGCGCAAATGACTTTAGAAGAAAAATGTAATATGACTGCAGGTGTTGCAGGTCATTGTGCTGGTTTTGTTACACCTGTTCCGCATCTTAATTTCGGTGGACTTTGCTTTCAAGATTCACCATCAGGCGTAGGTGATGGTATTCAATTTTCCACGGCTTTTATTGCTGGTATTCAGATTGCAGCTACTTGGGATCGTGATCTTTTCTATCAACGTGCAGCTGCCATTGGTCAAGAATTTCGAGGAAAGGGAGTTCACTTTGCTCTAGGACCTATGATGAATATTGATCGAAATGCTTTACACGGTCGTAACTGGGAAGGATTTGGTGCTGATCCATATCTTACAGGTGAAAATTCATTTTATTATGTACAAGGACTTCAAGACCAAGGTGTAGTAGCTACTGCAAAGCATTATATTTGCAATGAACAAGAATCTAATCGTACTTATCATCCTAAAATTGGTCCAAGTCAAGGCTATTCAGCTAATCTTGACGATAAAACAATGCATGAAATTTATTTATGGCCATTTGCTGAAAGTGTTGCTGCTGGTGCTGGTTCTGTCATGTGCGCATACAATCAAGTCAATGGAACACAAGCATGCCAAAATAGTAAAATCTTAAATGACCTTTTGAAAGGTGAACTTGACTTTCAAGGCAACGTCATGTCCGATTGGGGAGCTACAAAAGTTGGAATACAATCGGCATTGAGTGGATTGGATATTGAAATGCCTGGTCAAGACGGATTAATGGGCTATGCTCTTCTTCAAGCAATACGAAACGGATCAGTCACAGAGGCTAAAATAAATGACATGGTGATTCGTATTTTAGCACCTTATTATTTGCTTGGACAAGATCTTAATTATCCACCTGTCAATTTAAATTATGATGTGACAAGAGACCATTATTTACTTAACCGACAGCTTGGCACTGCCGGTATAATCTTACTTAAAAATACAAATAATACGTTGCCGTTTAATAGAAATACCGATAAATATTATTCTATTTATGGATCGGCGGCAAGTCGTTATAGTGATGGTGTTGATCCACATGGATTAGACGGACTCGATGGTGCTCTCTATCAAGGTGGTGGTTCAGGTTACGTTCGTTCAACTTATTTCATTGATCCTCTCACTGCACTTCTAATTAGTGCTCGTGATTTTCATCTTCAAATTCAATACATTATTGATCAAGATGATTATGTTGCCATTAACCGTTCGTTAGAGAATAGCGGGTTTTTAGATGGTAAATGCCTTGTTTTCATCAATGCTTGGTCATCAGAAGGACGTGATAGGCATAATCTTTTTGCTTATCATAATGGTGATAATCTAGTGAAGACGGTAGCTGCTCGATGCGCTTCAACCATTGTTATTGTCAATAGTGTTTCACAACTTAATCTCGAAGCTTGGATTGATAACTCTAATGTCACTGCTGTTGTTTGGGCAGGTTTACCAGGTCCTGAATATGGACAGGCCATAGTTGATATTCTCTTTGGTAATTATAATCCAGGAGGCAAATTAGTCTTTACAATAGCCAAGAATGATTCGGATTATGGTACCAATATTACTGAGACATATAACTCGAATTACACAGAAGGTGTCTTCTTGGACTACCGACATTTTGATAAAAATAATATTACACCAAGATATTATTTTGGCTATGGACTTTCTTATACGACATTCTCTTTTTCAACATTGATTATTGCAAAAATTAGTCAAGAAAATACAAATGTACACACATCGTATAGACGCCGTCGTATATCCTCCTATAGTAACAGAGCTTTACTAAAATTCTATGAGCCTCTTTATACCATAACCTTTATTGTTACTAATACTGGTAATATGAATGGATCTGAAGTTCCACAACTCTATATTGGATTTCCAGACGAAGCAGCACAACCCCCAAAAATTTTGCGTGGTTTTGAACGAGTTTACTTGGACGCAGGTGAATCGAAGAAGATGACTTTAGCATTAACATCAAGAGATATTTCATACTGGAATGTTATCAATCAAAAATGGATTGTTGCATCTGGAAAATATACAGTTTGGATTGCAACATCGGCCAATAATTCTGATATTAAACTTGACGGATTTTTTAATATTTAAACATATTTTAGATAAATAAATGTATTTCACTTTCTAACATTGACCATTTAACTGGTAAGGCGCATGCAAAGCAGGAAAAGTATAAGTTTGATAGAGAAAATATCCACTTAATCGATTTAATGAAGTTCATAATTGAATTGATAAAAACTTAACAAACCGCCAGTTTTCGCTACTCCTTACTTTATCATGTACTTCATCATGATCTCTTAAGACCTAAACAAAACCGCTTCTATCAAGTTTGATATGTAGAGTTTATAAGTGAAACTATTTGTGACAGTTCAGAATCGATATCATTCTATGAAATTTTACTATCTAAACAATTACTCTTTCACAACCAGAAAAATTTTGACATTTGTTTGAATCAATTTATAGTTTGTTTTGGTTCAATTACCTCGGACTTCATCTACTTACAACATATGGATGACTAAATAAATAAATAAATAAATAAAATATTTGAGTATGAATATCATAGCGTTACCAAAAGATCAATTGTTGAATTTAACAAATAGTTATTATCTTTAATGCCAATAAAAGTTTCAATATCGACAATATATTTGTTTCAACTAGTTGTTCTATTTCATATAGGACTAACATTAAAAGATAATGACAAAAAATCAAGAAGCCAAAGAATTACACCATGAACAAGTGACCAATTAGCACAAAGACCGCTAGCCTAGTTGCTATAAACCTAAACATAACGTTAAATAAATGTTGTATCAAATACCTTGTTAAAAATTACATTCAGTTCGACCTCGATTCGGTTCATTGTTGTTCTCAAGCCTCAACAACGTTTACTTGAAAACGATAGTAATATTTTCATTTAGTTTAGTATTAAAATCAAGGAGGAACAAACTGATTTCTTGATTCCATGATTTCTTTGATCTCCATGATTTCTTATGATTTCCAGCGATTTCTATTACTGGAAGTCAGTTTTTATATGATCATTGGAAATCAACAGAAATCATTGGAAACGTTTAGAAATGTTGAAAAATTATGAGAAATCAGTAGATAACAATATTTTCTTTCGCTATATAGTTCGAGAATTTCTGTGATTTACATTTATTTACATTTATTTCTTGTGATTTCTAACAGCTGAATCGTTATTCATATCTTTAATGTATGATGATTTCTATGCCTGGAAATCAGCTTGTTCCCCCTTGGTTAAAATAGCAATCACTATTGACCGCATTTCTGTTCTGATTGGTATGAGGAAAAATGCGTAGGCGGAAAATTTCACAAAAGTCAATGTGAAATAATTCTTTCAATTTGTCTCTGCTATTTTTCAACAGAACTGAGAATTTTCGATTTTGAAGATAATGAATATTTACTTATTTATCTCATGGTAATCAGTCAATTGCATTAATACAAACTCCATTATCATGTCAATGACACTTAGTCACTAGGTAAGTTTGTCTACTTTTTATTTATAATTTAGTTTTATGGTGCTTCGTAATAAGTACAACTTAATTAGTGTGAGACATACTAGAAAAACAAAGTATTGGTACATGAGAAATACACAAAGTTCATATATCAAAGAGCTCTAATCTTGATCATAAGAAGAACAAATAAATACTCTAAGTTATAGCTCAGAAAAAATGCTTACGTTGCTGAGCAAATAATTGTAGATGATGATGATGATTCGAATTAATGCCTACGTCATTCAAAGTAGCAACACACGTAACATTTTCAAGAAGCAATCAAGAGATCTATGATGAGCTATAAATTTAGTATGTCGAGTTCACTCATAAAGATTAGATTCAAATATCTCTATTAAATAAATAAATGAAAAGTGAAATCTATTCGTCAATTGCTATCTGATGACTTGATATATACGATGTGAGTTCTTTCAAAGGAATAGTTTACAAAAGGATGTTTGTTATTCATTCTTGTAACAAACATTTGAATATCTTTGGGAGGAATTTCAATCACTTTCACGGTGTCAAAACAACAATTTTTTTGCAGTCTGCGGGTGTTAAACCAACGAATAGCATTCAAATTATGCATTTTAAACCTACTCAGGAATACTCAGATATTCTATATTGAGATTAATACGAAACACTTGATTTCTTTGCATAATTATCAGGCAAGTAATACTATCAATGTCTGACGCTTGATTTTAGAATTTTCATATGTACTTCAGTACGCAAGACGAACACGGGTGATATATTTATGTAAAATATGTAAATCAATAAAAAGAACAATAAATAATGAATTAAAAAAGGATTTTTTATTTTCTCTAAATGATCCTAACAGCCATGCCATTTATTTTTGTACTTATGAACTCTATCTAATATCTATGGAATGAAAGAGTTCAGTAGTCTTTTCATTAAAGGATTAAAAAAATTGTATTATTCATAATAAAGATTGAAAATGAAAATTTGTATTTTAAAAAGTCAATTCTTCTATTGATTAAAAAGAAAATTTTTGGTCACCGATGAATATTAAATACTATCAGTTGTTGATGAGATGAATTTTCTTTCTTCTTTCCGCCTACACTTGATATATATTAGGCAACCGATCAGTATCATCACTATTTATATTGATCAGCAGGAGATCTATACATTTTTCTTCTCTTGAAAGCTTACTATGAACTGATTGATTCAGTTAAGAGTCGTTCATTTTCTATTAGAATCTTTTCATCTCTGCTTGTATAATCACAAGAGAGACGAGAGAAGAAAAGTAATCGTGATATGATCATAATATATGGGTTCTAGATAATTGAAATATTCGTTGCCATGATCAATTTTGTTCACGGTAAACAATTGTTTTTATGGCAAAATAATCAATATTCTCTTTTTAGTCGACAATAAAGGATTCAAAATGATAAAATCTGTTAGACGTCGTTTTTTAGATCACCGATACGCATGGCGACAACACAAAAGTTCGTAAAATCAATAATTGAAAGAAGTCTCTCTATGTATTCGCGAATTCTAGATATTCGCCACATGATTATTTTAATTAAAATGATTTATGCTATCATCTTTATTTGTTTTACAATTTCTTCATGTCTTAGTCAATCTGTTGCTATAGAAAACAAAGAGTTAAAATCTATTTTCACCCGGATATGGGACATATGGTATTCTTTTTTGGCTCTTATGTTACTTTTATCATTACTTGTTGATCGTTTAAAAACACAAAATATTCTTTCATCCAACTTGATTAATATTATACACATATTTATAGTTGTTATTTTTATTATTTTTGTTATCTTAGGTAAGATTAAGAAGAACTTGTGAGTATTTTTTATTATTATTTAATTCCTTTGGAAAGGTCACATTCAAGGTTTATATCGTCTCTGGTGGTTATCATCATCACCGAATCAATTGGAATGCACAACATTTCTTTCCGTGGTTTTTATTGATATATGCCCTATTATGGTTGCTTTTATGATTACTTTTAATTTATTTAAAAAACGTCGATCATGGCGTTATATCCATGTTAGTACTTTTACTTCGAATGTTTAGTTCTATTCATTTTTTTTACTGTATTTCGAAATAGTTCATTTTTAACTAAGTTAGAATAAAATCTAGATAGAGCAGCCTTTATCTGCTTGTAAAAATCAGAATTAACCTATTCCTGTTGGTCATATTCGATAGTTGCCCAAGGCAACTCATATCGAATAGTTGTTCATACACTGTCAGTATACTGTGATAGAATGGTATTTAGAGTACAGTCAATGGTGTTGAAATGTTAAGCCACTGTAAATCTGTTCCAGTTACAACACATTGTAAACCAAATAGTTAACCAAGAGTTTAGCGCCAATATTTGCCGGGTTCAAGTCATTCGGAAAGACAATATTCAGTTCAATATAATAGGGATAGTATAAATTTATTTCAAAACAAAAAACTTAATTGATAAATGTAACATTTTTGTAAGTTATACTTTTATCCGCGAATCACAGATTTGTAAATGTTTCCGACCATTTATTTTCTACTTAAGTACGCTGAATCCATCGAATCCATCCTGACACATGTCTTAAGCATTTCCGAATTGCATACACGCATGGTTTCCAAGTATTATTTTTATAGATGTTCATAAATAAAACTCGAACAAGTATTCTTTAATATCAAGTATCACAAATAAAAAATACTAAATGTCTCTGAAGTTTTTTTTATAACAAGTTGACGAATACACTAGGAGCATCTTTATGTATTCATCAATATTCAACTCATTGGATGCACTTATATTAAAAGATTCTTTTCTAAGAGTCCGATAAGTGACTTTGAATCAGCTCAGCTAATTAAAATTTGTGATTTAATATCAATTGTTGTTGAAACTAGAAAAAGCTGAATGATAGTAATAATAGAATAGTTTATAAAATTTTGTGGCTAATAAGCAATTGTCTTGTTCAAAAAGATGTATGAATATGCTTCATTAAATGATATAATTTATAATTCACGAACGGACTTATTTCAGTTGATTATTTCTACGAAAGTTCGTATTGTGAATATTAAACATTCGAAAAACTCAATAATGATTGTACGAATACTTTATTTCAATGAAAAAATTATGAAGAATTCTTAGTAATATAAACTATCAAGATAATCAGTTTGTTTGCGCGCACTATATCATCAAAATCAATACGTAAAACGAAAGTTGAAGTCATCACGTAATAATAATGTTTCTGATCGTTTTTTTCAAGTTGCTTCAAGAGGGATTCAATGCAAAAGTATGTAGACAATAATGTGAATGAATTTTTTCTCAATAAACACTTTTATTAATAAGTGATTAAATGGAATATTCATTTTTGCACAAAAATCAATTATAATATTTAGTATACAAAAAGAAACACAACACGTGACAATATTTAGAATCAGACACATAGATATAGACACATTAAAGTATTAATTTGAAGATTCTTTATCGTTATGACGATTATGACTTTTACGCTCTCGTCGTGAACTCTGAAAAAAACCATAAAATTAATAGTAGCTATATTAGAAAGAAAATAGTAAGATATTAACTTTTGGTGATGATGTGATTAAAATTTCATTTGACGATTCATTTTCATTATCGTCATTGCATCGATGACATGTCCAACTATAATTACGTCGCTTAGGAAACGATGATAATGGTGGAGTACAGCAAATAAAATGATAGTAATTTTTACATCGATCGCAACTAAAAATAATTTTTATACAAAAGTTTAATTAATAAAAGATAAATAAATTGTGATCTACTCGGTCATTGTTTCATTTTTTCCTTGATTTGAGCACTCTTTACATCGAGCATCCGATGGAACGTTATTCGAAATGATTAATGTTGAACGTTTATGTGTTCGATTCAATTTAGTTTCTTGTCTTTCTTGATCATCATGTACTTTTTTGCTCTTTTTTGCTTTCTTATCATTGTCATTATGTGTTATTGATGAACGCAATTCAATAGTTTCATCGGCATTTTCATCCTCATCATCGAAGTTAAATATTGACAATGGATCTTTTGTTGTTTTACGTTTCTTCTTCTCAGGCTTTGTTACTGGAACCGATAAGGCTTTTTGTTTAAATATTGTCGGTGTTCGATGTTCGATAGCTAAAGATTTTGATCGAACAGGAGTTGCTGGTGAATCTAATAGAGAATTATTTTTCAAAATAGTTAATCACTTGTTTTTATTTTCCTATTTACCAGTCGATTTCGGTTTCGGTGACTTTTTAATTGATATTCGCGGAGACTTTTGAGCATTAGAACTACATAAAAACAAAATAATGATTTAAGCTAGAAAAATATCAAGAATGCATATAAATGAGTCTTCTCATTAATCCTTTCACTATTGATCAGAAAGAAAAATATTTATTTATACAGTTAGTTGATCTGTTTATAAATAAATAAATATAAACCTAAAAGTAGGAGTATTTGAATTAATAGATTTACTACGAAAGTATCATTTGATAGAAGAACTAGATTAAGTAGTTTATTGTTTACTTTTAGGAAAACCTTTTCTTTTTCAAAATCTTTCGGAAATTGCTCAACGAAAATTCTTAGGACGCTTTATGAACCTATAGAAAATCATCATTATATTAGAGTAGCTGTGAAAATTTCTTAGAATTCAATTTCAAGCGAGTTAATCGAAATATCTCTGAAAGTATAAGATCTACATTACCTTTTAAATCTTCAAGGGATTCTATGTGTTATCCGATGGTCGAAACTTTGTAAAAAAAAATAGAGGTTCTGATATAGCCCTTAAAAGCGTTTTCTCCTGTCTAAAATCTTTTATCAGGGCTTGGATGATTGGACAAAACACAGAACCTTTTACAGATCTAAAAGATTGTGTAGATCACTTTTTACTTTCAGAATAAACAGATATTCGATCAGGACATTTAGATTCAATTCCCTAGATGCTTTATTGTTAAATATTTAGTAGAAGAAAGTTGAAATAATCAAAAAAAAAGTAGGATTTCACGTTTGATTATGTTCGAGCTTTACTCATTGAAATGAACTATTCCTCAAAGCTAATATCTACAGATATATTAACTGAAAAAAGAAAGTTAAAATTTCGAAAAAAATAGAATTTAATTCAATTCAATCGAGTTATATGATACTTCTGTGATTACAACAGTGTATCTCAAAACATACTTGAACAATAGTCTAAATAATAGAGACTGTCTTAACTGATGGCACAATTTCCAAACTACAGCACGCACTACATGATCTGAATTCTCAACGAGAGTGAGTACAACCTTTCGTACACATTTAATAAAGATCAAACAATTGAATCGCACAACACGGCAAGTTGTGAATTATTGGTATGCAAAGAATTGAAATCTATTATCAATTTTAGACTTCTTTAAACGATTTTTTTAAAACAACATCGAAGATATTGAGACTTCTCTGTTTTATGAAAGAAAGGCTTGAACAATGTTTAAACCTTTTTCTTGCTGCTGAAGAAGTTCGTTTCGGTAATGATTCAGGAATAAAATCAGCTGTTTTTCGAGTGAATAATTGTTTAATGACTGATGTTCGACTTTTGCTCGTCGTCGATTTTTCACCATCTGGTTTTGTGTCTATTACTTCTTTTGATGATGACGACGATGATGAATCAATTTTTGAACTTGTTCGCTTTGATTTTATAATCGATTCATCTTTGGATGATTTTGTTTTTTTATTCTTTATTGTTTCTTTTTCATTATCATTTTTATTATTATTGGAATTAGAATTAAAATCTGAATCTTGTTTTCGTTTTCTTGAACCAAACTAGAGTAATGAAATATTAAAGATTTTTATCCTAGTATAAACTTACTTTGATAACTGTTTCGCGTAAAACAAGTTCATTTGTGCGTCTCGGCCGTATCTGACGAGGCTCATCAATATTAACATTACATTGATCAAGCTCTTCTTGCTGTACATTCACACAAGCAGCACATTGCCTTCAAACAACAAAGAAAAACAAATTGAGTGAAAAATAAAAACTGACAATATTACCAATCATATTTCTTACTAGCCGATAACATTAGTGATAAGGTCTTAGCGGGCATTGCTGGTGTTAAACAATTACCATGAAATGCTAAATGACATTGACAACATTTGATCGTTTGATTTGATCGATCGATTTGTTTACATACTGAACAACTAAATTCAAAAATAGTTTCTGAAAAAAACCAAAGCAACTATCTATATAAAAAGTGACAAACCAATCATTTTCTATTGTTGCTACTGTTGAAGATCGTTGTGGTAATTTAATATTCAATAATTGATTTATTGTATCATCTTTTAATTGACAATTATAGAGTTTAAATATTTCCAGATATTCATTGTATCGTTCAGTTGAAGAAGCTAATGTTTCGTATTCTTTTTTAAGTTCAGTTTCAAGCTAAATCAATCGAAACATTTTTGCTTTGAAAAAGCATTTTCAACAAAATAAATGAAAAAATTCAACTTTTTTATGTTCTTCTTTTAATTGTTTATCGCTTGATATTGACTCCAATTGAGAAAGTTTATTTTCTGCATCTGTAATACGTTCTCGAATCTGACCAAGTTCTTCTTCATTTGCTGTAAATGCAAGAAGAGCATTTGTATCTGTTGATGTGAGATCGAAATTATTTGGCAGTGTTGCCGATTGATTTGGTCGTAGACGTTGAGCTTTGTCAAAAAAGTTTTTCAATGCCACTGGGTCAACCATTAATGATCTTTTCAAAAACAATGCATTTTAAATTCTTTTTCTTAAAAATAATTTCTTTTTCTCGTACCGTGCAAGATGACTTTTAGCTGGTTTTGGTAATCTTGGAAATGATTCGCTACGTTTTTTATATAACGACCAATGATCAACTAAAATTTGAGTAATGTGTTCCTGAAGATAAATAAGAGTACATGGATACAGTTTTGTTCATGTTCAAAATAGAATTCAACAAACATTTAGTTTATCTCTATGATCTAATTGTTTTTGTTGTACTTCACAGATTGTATAATTTCTTTGAACTGTTTTATATGTATTTGATGATGATTGATGAGTTACGCAATATAATTCACATTCAATTTTTGACTAAAAGAATTAAAAAATGAATCATATTTATTTCCTTTTCTTTTTTCAAATGATGATACACTAAAAATTCGAACTAAAAATAGATCGTATCGAATATATTGTTCTACATGTCAACAAACTGTAAAATGAAATGGTTTTTGTTAATCTCGACAGGTTTTCTTTAATTTCACGAACGGAAGAGAATTCCTACATCTTTATGATTGTTTAAAAGCCCTATTTCATTGAAAGACTTGCAAACAAAGGAACAATCCACGTACAATAACAAAAAGAAATCAGTGCTAACCTATCCTTCGTATCTATTATTACACACACATCTGTTTTTACTTATGTACTAAATGTCATCTTACGAAGAGAATATTTTCTGTCGAGCATATTATATCTATTAAAATCAACATGTTAGATATTATTTTATCTTCATTGGAATTTAATTTCTTTGCGAAAATTTGTATGCACGTAAAATTTAACTAACCAATTCGCCTCGAATTTGTAATAAACCATATTTATTGGCACAAGACAAATGAAATGCATTTGGACATAAACCAGCATCACACGAAACACATACACCTGATCGTGATTCACATAGATGACACGACTAAAGTAAATCAAATAGGAAAATTTATCAAATCGAAACACTAAATTAATTAATTAAAACCTTATTTCCAAACTTTTGAGATGATATATTCGATAAATCTACAGGAGTATAATAAAGTTCATCATAGAATAAAACTCCAGGAACACCAAGCGCACAAACAACATGAACCCAACTTGATTCTAGAGTTGGCCAAAATGCCTGACAATGGTCTTTCGTTGGACATAATGCACATGTCTAATTATATTCAATATGAGTGAAAATAAAATCAATATTATTCTTACTGGATCATCAACATGTGCTAAACAAGGTGTACAAAACCAATATTCAGACGGTGATGATGAATCTGATGATTTATCATCTAATGTATCGGCATTATAACAACCTAAATATTTCCTTGAATGAATGAACAAAAACAAATAAAGAAAACATTTATTTTTTACTTTCATGAACAATAACTCCACAACGATCACAATAAACAATCGGATCATTATCATCAGTACTAAATATTAAAAATCGATAATATAATTTCTCGATGAAATATTTTATTTCTTATTTTACCTTCCACTCAATAAACAAATCGAACATATTTTGGTTTCTGCTATTAACTATTAATTAAATAAAAAGACGAATAAACAAAAGTCCATGCATACAAACATATAAAACATACCGGATTTGCTACAGATTCAGCAGCTGTATTATTCTCTTCACTGGACATTTCTACTTTACTTATTATTTATTTTCTTTTTTTTAATATTCTGCAAAAAGAGAAAATTTCTTTTATTGTACTTTGGCTTCATAATTAAATGTGTGTGCGTGTGCTGTATTTTTTGATTGCAAAAAAAAACAGAAAGCGAGATATAAAATACATGAGAGAGCAGAAAAATGTGAGAAAGAAAGACACACACACACACACACACACACACGACAAGTGATTTGAATCAAAAAAAGAAAAGAAATGTATAATNCACACACACACACTCGACTTTGTGTCTAAGGCATACAATATATGATATAAATCCACGAGAAAGATAATGAGAAGAAGAAGAAAAAAGACCTTACATTCTGAAGTTCAAAATGTAGAATAATAAGATTTGTAATCTATGACATGTTTCTTATATTATTATTATTATTCAAATGAGAAGAAGATAAACAAAAGTTCATTTTTTTCACACATAACGAGACTTCGATGCAAAACATTCTTTGTTTAGTTTTTTTGTGTTTTTGTCTCACTGTTTTGCCAGCGCGTCTCAGTATCCGTAGCACCAAGTGACTAAAGTTATATATAGTAGCATTAGAGTAATACAAAAAAGAAAAACGAAAGGCTCTATTGCACAACAACACGAGAAAAAGAGAAAAAAGAAGCACTCTGGAGCACACGCACACAAAAGAAAAAACAAGATTTGTTTTTTATTTGTTTTGTTTTCATTTCGAAAGTTTACTGATGACACGAATCAATGCAGCATTTTCTTCTTTCAAACGTGTATTATCTGCTTTGATTGAGTCCATTTTCTAAACAACCACAATAAAACAAAAATCAAATTATTAAACAACCGAATGAATGTTTGCGTTACTTTTAATTCTTCTTCTAATTCTGATATCTTTCGTTCATATGCTCGTTTTTCCTATAGATAAATAGAAGAAAATACAGTATTTTATTTTGAAATTTTGATCATTATTGAACAAAATTATGCATTTGTAAAAGAAACAATTTGTCGAAGTTTTTGTGTTCTAGATGTAAATAGTTCATTCTCATTCATTCGTAACTCTGTTATAATTTTTATGAGATGAAAATGTCTATCTCTTACAGATTATTTAAAACAATTCATCTCACTATATTTTTGAATGTGATTTTGTTAAATTTCAAAACTTCTAAACAGTACATTAAAATTACGAACTATTATACATTTCTTTTCTTTTTTTGATTCAAATCACTTGTCGTGTTACACACTTGTTTGTGCAACTACCGATAGATTAGTCTCTGTAAAAGCCGACGATACATCAGCAGCAGATACTTGATACAAGAAAATATATTGATGTATCATGCTACAATATTCCGAACGAGGGAAACAGATGATTTATGTACTAAAACAAAAAGGTGCGATTAGACGCCACTTTTTTTCTCAATGTCAATAAATATAGTCATTATTATAGAACACATTAAATTGAATACCTTAACCAAGACTTTTCTTTATTTTAAATCGTTTAGATTAATCATATGTTAAATAACTATAAGAATAAACATAGAAATATACCAATTAGATCTTTTTGATCTATAAGGTGACTTTATAGACTCATGAAATACTATTCGAAATAAAAACAATAATATTTTGAGTAGTAATTATCTAATCTAGAAGAAAAAAAGTATCTTACTCGTTTATCAAGTGATGATTCAATATATTGTGACGTTTTCTATTAAATAAATAAGGAAAAGTTTTTGATAATTAACAGAGAAAAAAATCTAACGAAAAACATACGAGCTTTTCGATCATTTGATCTCTTTCAGCAATATCTCTTTCTAATCGATCAACTTTTTGTGTTAATTCATCGACCTTACGTTTAGCATCCTCGTATAACTATACAATAAAAAAAGAAAGATAAATAGATATAAACTACAATAATAAAATAAATGTTTACTCGTTTGATTGCGAATGTATCATTATTTGTTGCTGATATTCCAGTAGATAAAGCAGTATTTTCTTTAGAATCCTTTTTTAGTGCAAATGGCGTTGACGAAGCCATACCATTCATAGCTGTATTTGGATTCGTTGGTGTTGTTGTGGTGGTTGTGGTTGTGGTTGTGGCTGATGATGACGTTGATGATAATGATGATGATGGCGGTGGTGGTGGTAACGAAGTTGTTGCTGATAAAGATTTTCGCGATGGATCTTGACTCTGTGAACGACTAGTTCGTGATGTTGACGAAGAAGATGATGGAGATGTTGGAGATAGATTTGTTAACGATTCTTTAGTTGTTGATGATGATAATGGGGGAATATTTTCAAATCGGGATATAAGACCGCGTGAACCAAGCGCAACACTATTTGATGTTGACTGTTGAGCGTTATCTTGTAATTTTTGATCGTCTGATCGATGAGATTCTTCAATGGATGTTTGTTGATATGATGTTTTTGGAACTAAATCATTTGAATCATCACGAATTTCTACTTCTTTTGTCTCCTTAAAACATGAAGATATTCTCATCAATAAAAAGAAAAAAAACAACGCGATAAACGTACGTCGTTCCAAATAATTCTTCCAGTGTTTTTTCGTTGATTATGTACACGATTAGTTCGTCGTCGTGGTTGTTGTTGTTGTTGGGAATCTAACGAATTACTAACACCAAGATTCAATGAATCGTTAGCTGTGATTGATGGGACAATATCTATAAAAATATGTTATGATTAATAGGTTAATTTTTTGTTTTTTCTTACTGTCAGTATCAGTCGATGTAAATCTTGATCGTACTCGACGTGAGCCAGCAAATGAAGAAGATGCGTCAACAGTCGTCTCAACAATATCCTATTAATAATATAAATATATATATATATATTTGTGTGTGTGCGTGTGTGTGCATTTATGTATATTAAGAGAAAAAGAGAATGAGTATATTATATAGAAAAAGCAACGAACGAGAAGAAGAAATCTACATAGACGAACGTATATATATAGAGAATGCTGAATTATTACATATATATATAAATATACATATACACTTCGTACTGATTCATAGACTGCGATAAGGCAACGAAAGGAAAAAAAATAAAAGTATCGTCGCAAAAAGAAAGAGAACAAAAAAAACTTATGATAACGAAGCCGAGCATCGCTAAACGAATGAAAGATGAAATTTTTCTGTGTATATTTTTTTTATTGTAGCTACACAAATGCACATCCATCATTTTTCTTCTTTTTTTTTATCCCTGGAGGTCAATAATTGAAAGCGCATGTTTTTTGGTAATCTTAGTCAATTGTACAAACAAACACAACAAAAGAAAAAAAAGCCATGTTGAGAAAAGAAAATAAGAAAAACTCAATGAAGAATCAACGTTAGATATCTATGCATAATTTTATTTTACCTCGTTTCCACCACTTGCTTTTCTTGCTTTTTCTTTTTTTTCTTCTATGACTCGTTGTAATCGTTCAGTTTCAATATCATGTTCAGCACTTAAAGATGGTGTTGATGGCGCACCAATTTTATTATTTGATAAAGGTACATTGGTCGTTGATCCTACAATATTAGTTACTGGTTGTGGAATTGTTATTAATGATGGCGCCGATATTTCAGCAATGGTTGGTTGATTTTTTATTTGCTGTTCAGCTGCTTTTATATCTTCGACAGTAACACTTTGTGTTGATCGTCGTTCTCGTCGCGCTTGAGCTGAGCGATGTTTACGTTGTGCTTCAGCTTCTTCATCACGACTTGGTGGAACATTTGAACGTCGTTTTCCACCAGTTGAATCGTCTAGTATATTTGTTGGTGTTGCTGCTGTTACTGTTACATTTGTTGTTGGTGTTGATGTTACTGAAGGAAGAGATGTTGTTACACTAACAAGTGTTGACGCTGTCACTGATGCTGATTCATTAGCACCAGCAGCTGATCGACGACGAACATATGGAACTGTATTATTAGTTGTTGATGATGAACCATCACCCACTGTTCGATCATGTATACCCCATCTAAATATAAGTTTTTGTATAGAAATAAAAGAAAAAACATAGAGAAATTTTCGCCAAGGTAAAATCATGCATTGCAAAAGAATCCTTGTCAAATGTGTTTTGTTTTTGTACTTCTCTAATTGAAATTTGTTCTCTATGGGTCTAGTCTGTGCAAAAAAAAGATGATTAGGTTGTGCGTATTAATTGTGATAGATTTGGTTAGATAATGTGTTGATTGGTTACAGGCTTCGATAGAAGAAATTGAAAAAAAAGAAAATACCTTCTCGGTGGCACCTCTGGCTGTGACTCGCTAAAACTAGAATAATAAAATAGCATCATCTAACATAACTAACTCATATATTATATAAAAACGATTGAATTTGTTTTATATATTAAATTTGATATAGATCATCCTAAAGTTACCTTCGACTCATTTTATTGTCCGATGATTGAGTAGGAGATGAAGCGACATTTATTGTTGAGTTCTCCTATTGAAAGAAAATGGAAATTCTTTTTATTCTAATAGTTCAATTAATATTTTTCTATTGAAAGATATTTATCTACATGCATTAATTCATTGTCATGCAAAATATTTAAATATTTCTTTTTCTAAAATTCATTTGTTGTATATCTTACACGACTGGATAATTCGTTATTATTATTATTATTATTATTATTATTATTATTATTATTGTTATTATTATTTGTGGTTAATGATTGAAGTGGATTTGTAAACGTTCGTTGAGAATTTGATAATGAATATTTATTTGTTGATAAAAATGTTGGTCGAGCTGATGTTGTAGGTGAATTAGATACTGTTTTATCAGAAGTTTGTTTTGATCGTTGATCATATGACGATATAGTTGTTTTATTCAGATCATTACTAGTTGAATTATTTGTTGCTGATGTATTTGGCAGCTATTAGAATAAATAAAATAAAGCTTTTTCATGCACAAACAATAAACGCATTCATTCACATTCAATATTTTCTTCACAAATAATTCATTTTATACTTGCTTACCTCTTCTTGATTTGTTTTTAAATATCGATTACTTAAATCATGTAATGAACGTTGAAGATTACTTAATTTTTCCTAAATAAATTAATATTATAATAATTTTCATTCCGTAATGTTAAATCGAAATCGAACTTTGATACTAGGTGAACAATTCGATAGATTCTCATCTACAGATGCAGGATTTACTGATAATGGTAAGGAAGCTGAGGGTAAACAAGGCTAAACAACAAATCCAAGCACGTGCATTTTATTTAAGAAAAAGTTTTTCAGTTAAAATAATAATACCTGAGGAGGTTTGTTTGTTATTTCTGAATAAAAGAAAACAACAACTAAATGTAAATAGGTACAAACAAACAAAACAAACCTAAATTCTCATTATGTGATTCAGATCGAAGAATTGATTTTTGTTCATCTGTTGGTCGAGAAGGTGCAGGCCTTTTAACGAATCAATAGAAATTTAATCAGTAAAAATTCATGTTTAATTTTTCAAATATACTTTCTCTTCCATGGTAAAAGAACGTTATCTGGCGTTTCACTAACTTGTGTCTAAAAAGAAATAGAAGAAACGTCTTTGTTATTTTGAAATATATAAATCTTTTGAAATATTTTACTTTTACAGGAGTTTGTTTATCTTTTAATTCTTTTAACAATTCATAAGTGACACCATCACAAACATCAAGTGGTGTTTGACCCTAAATCAAGCTATGAATAAAATTATTTTGAGTTATTGAGATTTACTGCAAAATTTTTTGCATCAAGATCAGCATGTCGTTCAAGTAGAAATTTAATAACATCATGTTTATCCCAATGTGCAGCTGCATGTAATGGTGTCCAACCATCATTATCAACTGAATTAATATTTGCACCAGCACGTAGTAAAATACTAAAATATTTTTTTTAAATAAATCATTTTTATGGAAAAAATCCTTATATATATTTATGATAACATACTCAATAACATCTAAATATCCTTTAGCACAAGCAACATGTAAAGCAGTAGCACCAGTTCTAGCATGTACAATAGTTTCAGCTAAAGATTTTGTATTTGTTTTTTGATTATTATTTAACCAATCTTGTGCATGTTTAAGCATTAATTCATGTTCGATATTTCTTGCTTGTTCATCATCAATACCTTTTCTTCTCATATCGTCTTCCAAACAAGCAATTATATCATCACCTTCAGCTATATCAATTGGTAATTCACCTTCATTATTACAAACATCAACAGTAGCACCACGAGATAATAAATATCTATAAATAAAAGTCGATTAGAAAATAAATAAAACAAGAAGAATTCAAATGAAAACATTTACTTGACAATATCAATATTTCCACAAGATGCAGCCGCATGCAAAGGTGTCCATCCTTCATTGTCTTGACAATTAATATCGGCAGAACGATTGAGCAAATATTCTACCATGAGCAAATTATTGTCAATGCATGCTTGGTGCAGTGCTGTAAGTCCATCGATATTGGATGTATTTATATCAAGACCACGCTGTAATAACTTTTCAACTTCATCACGATCTGTTGATGAGCATGCAGCTAAAAAAACATAAGCTTGCTGAAACTTGACACGCTGAGAAATTTTAATATTTGATGATTCTCGATTTGTCTCTGATTCATCCCAACGACGTAATTGTTCACGACGTTTGGCTATTGCACTCGATTGACGATTTACTTCGTCTGATAATGGATTTATTCCACTTAACATTAATCGAGTTTATTATTCACATTGGATGGACGAATATATATATATATATATATATCTTCTATAAACAAGAAAAGACTAAATAAACAACATCAGAACAACACAACAAGTTACGGCCATACTACAAATATTATCAACAAGGTCAATTTGTTTAGATGATTTCTTTATTAATAATTATGATTCACATTTTTACTATTAGAATTTAATCCATAATAAGTATTCTTTTACTAAGAACGTTTTGATTTTTTTTGATTTTCTATTATACTGATGTCGCTAGTTGCCAGCAGGGATTTACACATATTATAGTAAAAATCAGTTCTATGAAATTGTAACATAAACTCAAAAGTATTTGAAAGAAAAATGATTTTATCTAAATATTCTGTTTATTGAAGAAAACTACGAAAATGTTCTGTTTTTTCTTTTAGCAAATTACGATTTTCCTTTATCTAACGCCATCACATGAAGTTATATGATATAAATATGAAAATCTTAAAGCCCGTTCGTTACATTTTAAATAATTAAAATAGAAGTGAAGGATATGAAATCTACTACTAGAATATATAATTTAAAAAAAGCGATTTATTAAATATTTTAGATATTCTTATCTAGATCGATTTTTTTCTTTCTATAATTAGCATGACATGGTTTGTTCGTTTGTTATCCACATATCATTAATGCCTTCTGTTTATGTATAAACACAAGAACAAGAATAAGCAACACAAACAGAAAAGGAAAAAAAAACAAATTCCACGATAATGTCCTTGTTTCTGGTGCATACGTTGTCATATTCTTAGTATCTATTGCATCTTCTTGGAAAAAGTATATTCTACGACTAGAGAAGATATTATTCCTATAAGTAAAAGAACAAAATGCACTAACTAAATCTAAACGAAGAAAAAATTCGAAAATAGCTCTAATTTTAGATATCTTAATAAAATCAGAATATTTTAATTATTTCTAATCAATGATAATTGTTCAATAGATATTCACTAGTAAATGGATAGTAGAAAACACTATAGTTATATGAAATAAAAAGAAAATATCCTGTTATGACATGCAAAATAAAAATTTATCACATGCGCCCAAAGAAAAGAATGTCTATATAGTGATTTGAACTCATCGTTACATATTGATTGTTATTTAAAAGAATTCATCATCCAACTATCTTTTGCTCAATGAGAAGAAATTAAAACTATCAATGTGAAAAATCAGGTAAATAATAGTACAGCGCTTTCGAAAAGCCTAAATCGCAGAAGCTATTTTAAAGACGAAATCAGCATTGTATTTTTGTAGATTCGAAGAATAATATATGACGTTAGAATATGTGAATGTAAAAATCTAAGTGTCTTCTTCAATATTATGTCCAGTCAAGTTCGTTTCAAATTAATATTTTTAAGTGAATAGTCTTTAATTAAAATTGACTGGATAATGACTAAAATGTTTTCAACATCATCGTTATACGCGACGAAATCAAAAGTCCTACAGCCTAAATAATGTTTATTGGCATTGATGTTGTTTGTTAAATTTCGAACAAGAACAAGAAATAATTCAACTTGATATCAAGCATTGAAGCAAACATTTTATTGATGCAGTCAGAAGTTGGAGGTTTTAGAACACTACAAAATTGTCATATTTTATTTTTCACTAATTCAAAAGTGCAATAAATATTGTGTTCTTTCTTTACTTTGAAAAGCTCACTAGTTTAGACCTGTGTAGTTTGATTTATCTAATTCATATGATTTTGAAAAATATTCCTTTATTGCCTTTCAATGATTAAAATATTCCTTTATTGCCTTTCAATGATTAAAATCTTCTTTTATTCAACTTCAAAAATACTCATTTGACAATGTGTAAGTGTTGAGGTCGATATTTTACCTTTTTGTTACTGTTTTTGTTGTAGCTACTAAAAAAATTAATTTCTTCTCAAACATAGCTACTATTTATTCCAGAGAAGCTGCTTTTCATATTTCGCTCAATATCGAAAAACAAAAAATTCGCGATTTTAGGGTTTAGTACTGATTAAAAGTTCAATAAGAAATCTGCATTATTTTTGTCTTTCTACTCATACAGAATTTTATCATAAAAGAGAAGATTATATTATTGGAGGGATGCTGGTATTTTGATAATCTGCCAACAATTAATTTTTGTAAACATACATAAATTTATTGAAATTAAGTATTGTACAAGCTGAAATTTTCTACACCCTATATCTTTAATATAATTTCACTGTTAAAATTTATATTAGCTTCTTTAGGCTTGAAAAAATTTTCACTTAGTATTTTGATCTTTGATTGAATACATCGTAGATTGTATGTAATCTATTTAGATTAATATCAATAAGCTTTGACTAGTTTTTAAATAATTTTACACATGACATATCAATACTTACTAATTTTTTTGCCATGCAATTCAACCATGATCAATTGTAGAAAGAAAAGAAATTTATATTTTGTATCTCATTTACAATCAAACTAGCTTATTTTCAAAAACATTTTAATGTTTTCTCAAATACTACCAAGTTTAGTTAATAACTATCGAGCTTATCACTGGCTTGAGTTGAGAATTTTTTCTTTTTTTCTTTTGGATACGCGATAGAAACGATTTATCAGTATCGTCACTATTAGCTGATTGCCTCATAAAGATCGACGTAGGTAAAACAAAAGTTTTGTTGTCACGTAATAAATATGATATCTAAAGAATAGTGAATGTTGTAGTCAAGAATGATTTTTGTGGCTAAGCTCATTGAAAGATAACTGGATAAAAATCCTCAGTCTATACAATGTATGACGACTATCACATGCGGTCTATTATCAAGTTCTATAATCTCATCATATCATATTTAAAAGTCGAGTATTCTTGTCAAAATATTTATCTTTCTATTAGTAGTTTTTTCAGATACAAAGATTGATGATGGTAGTGATCAAAACATATTTCATGCTTCAGCGATATTTACTAACTAAGAGTATTAAAAAATATGTTAAAAACATTTCGCTAAAACTTGTGTTATCAGTGTAAAGTTGAAAAACTTTCTCATTCGTTATAGTTAATTATGAAGATGTTGCATTATAACATCAGCCTTTCTTCTGGAACCGAAATTTTGATGATAATCCAACTGCTGATTATCATGTTTCTGCTTGCTCGTTCGTAAAAGCATTTAACAAAACATAGTATTTTCCTACTTCTTCAATGGAAATAAATCTTCTCGAGAGCTGATTATTTCAGTGAAATTCATGATAAAACTCAATTGGAATTAAATTTATCCTGATGAAATCGGCATTAGAACCTAACAATACGACTTATATTTCTTGATCTACTTCGGTTCTTTGTTGCTGTCACTGAAAAAGAGAACTATTAAGAATATAAAAATTATTCGAATCCTATTCTATGTGTAATTTTTTATCGTGCTTTAGCCCATATGTCAATTTTTATTTCTTTTTCTTTTGCAAAAACGAAGATAATTGTGCTAGTTAATATTCTTTTGTTAATGATATATTTAAATATTTAAAAAAAAGACACAAAACAGTAAGGTCAAATTATAGACATCAACTATACTTACTGTAATGCGCCGTTTTGTTTTATATTCATAATTGAACAGAAAAGAAAAATCGATGCTGACAATATTAGAGATCATTTGTAATTGACCATCACATCCGATTATTCTCTTCGAATTCGTAAGTATCTTTCATATATAGAAAAGATTCAACTACAACATTAGAGTGGATTAGCGATAAATAATTGAATGTCTAAGAAGGATCATATTTTATTTTTTTGAATAACATTAGTATTGTCTCAAAACCAAGAAACAATATTTGTGAAAGAACTTAAGATTTGTAAAAATGATTCTTAATTATCATCAGTTGAATTAATTATATGAAGACATTCTTCAAGGTATCTGCTTTTTTTTTGCTGTAACATATTTATTTGGCAGTCGTCACAACTCTCAATCTATATTTTCCTAATAAAAACACAGTACGAAGACTTTTCACGAGCAAGAGTAGCACATCTGAATATCAATTTGTAAACTACATAATATCATATTTATTTTGAAATAATGAAAAAAGACACATGAAGATATTAATACACAACACAGCAAACAGAAAAATAAATATACAATTCATATCACAGTTAATGCTGCGTTGCTTTTTTTTTCTTCTATAATGAATATATTTCTAAGTTGTTTATTGTTAACATAGTCGTGGTTTTTCTTCGATTATATTTTCTTGATGATCATTGAGAAGTTCTGATTGAATTTGATATTGATAATCATTGTTTGTGTAAGAATTATTATTTATATTGGGCGATGAAGATAATCGACCATTCATAGCACATAGTGATGAAGATCGATGACAAGACGAGTAGGGCCAATTCTATTCGAAAAATAAAGAAGAAAATAAAATATTTAAGATTTATAATATCTACTCACGAAATTGTTTGGTGTTTGAAGTGAAAGTGATGTAGTAGTTGGTTGTGCTGCTACGGTTTGTATTGGAAGTTCATCAGTATCTAATATCTGTGTTAAATGAAGAATATAGCTTGTAGCTAAACGGAGTGTATCTAGTTTTGATAATTTTGTATCATGTGGAACCTATTAATTATTAAACATCAGAATAAAAACCAAACGGCATTTAAAAACAAAAAATACGAACCCATGGTAAATGAGTTTTCAGTTTAATAAAAGCTTTACTTAATACACGCATTCGAGCTCGTTCACGAGCATTAGCAGCATTTCTTTGTTGCATACCACCAGTTGTTGTATTTATGAATTTAACTGGAGAATTACTAGTTGTTGTCGTTACTGAATCATTACTCGATAAGCGTTTGCGACCCATTCAATATAACGAATAAGAAAAACTACAATACCAAAAAACAAAAGGAAAATTTCTCACTTTTTTCTCATTGGTTCCTTTCTCCATGCAATGTTTATAGATAAATATGTATGTATATAACCAGAAGCAAAGGCATCTCTTATTCTCGTACCGACTTTATCATTGTCTTGTCATCTTTCGTTCTCGTAATCACTTTCTTTATATTTTCTGACAGATAATGGATTAGTATGTTTTCTTGCTTTGAGCAATGGGTGCCTATATTGCTCTAAAAGACACATACATATTCACACATGCTGTGTGATGATTTGATCATAGTTCTATATGAAAAACACTTTCTTCTTCTTATTTCTTTATTAAAGGAAACAATAATAAACATAATGAAACTACGCATCTAATCGAACATATGCTGTTCAAAATAAGTTAACTAGTGTATTGATTTCGAGATCTATTATTAGAGAAAAACATTTTCTCTAACAAATATAAAAATTTCATTTAAGAAGTCATTTACTTCATGACGATCGACTAGAAATAATACTAATAATAAGATAGTTTTGAGTCTTCATCGCAAAATATTTTATAATATCATTATCTTTCTATTTATTACCTAGAACGAATTGAATGTATATATTATCAATAAAAAGTAGTACATCTGTTGCAAGACTGAATCACATTGAATTATATTTATACAGATATTCATAAAAATATCATTTTTGTTGTTGACTGTTATAGAATCGATTTCATAACAGCGATTTATTTCCCTCCGAGATATTCTACTAAACCCCTTAATAGGGTTTCCTTTGGTTGTATCATATTTTTAAAAATCTATGTCTTGACATTGATTGCAATTTTTCAGTATCGTTTTTCTAGAATATTTGAAACTTACCAGATGTTTTATGTCTTAGTTGTTTTGTGTCGTTATGGTATTATTATTCTCGTGTTATCGCGAAGGCTATATGAAGATGATAATAGTGCATGAAAAAAAAGAAAAAGAAAGAATATAAACATCATCGTTTATTTCCTTTTTTTTTGATTGGTTCGATTCTCTTTTTTCTTATTGGGTTATTCTGTTTGTTGAAATAAATCATAGCAATAATTGCTCATCGTTATATGCTTCTGCTTCTTTTCTTTCTACGATACTGAAGACGACAGCCTTGGTAAATTGTTGTTTTTTAATGCCCTCTCAGTCGACCTTAACCATTCGATTAGTCGAAGGAGGAGTAATATACATATTGTTTCTATAACGTATCTTTATCACATTTTACATATCAACAAATTGACATTTTCCAGTAGGTCGAAATATGTTTAAAAAAGCATTTGTGCTCGTTCAGCTAATTGGAATATAAACAAAATCATCTTTTTCTATATCCATGTGATTTATGCTTCACTCATTCAATATCATAATTGAGTTTTTAGTGTGATGGCACGTGTGTGTCACAGATACATAAACGATATTGATGTGTTAATGTTCTCGCCTTTTTTCTCTCTCCCTCCATATTTCTCATCATCAATCGATCGATCATCTTCATTGTTCAATTCTCTATTCCAGTTGGGTTATGTCTCTTCATTAAGGTTAGAACAATCAGATAGTTATCACTTGAGTGTTCAATCTAATTTGAGAAAAAATCCTATTTTCGAGTATCGTTTTATCTTGACTAATAGAAGTAAGCGAGGAACACAATAAATTCTACCATCGAGGCCAGTTTTTCTCGCTTTGAAAACAAAGTAAAAACATAGAAAATAGATTGAAAATAATAAACATTTGTAAGAAAAAATATGTAACGGAAATCGGTTCGATTGAATTTTGTAATTATTTGTTTTATTTTCACCTCTTGTTGATAATAAATTATGACTCATACATTTCGAATAAATTTGTTTAAAATATAAAATAATCAGATAGATATAGAATTTCTTTATTTTGCTTTTTTTCATAGTTTAACTATTGATACCAAAAGTTTATAATTGTTTTTTACGGAAATTTCATTGGAATATTATGAAAGTTTTCAAAAAAAGGTTCTTCGTTTTTCTATTAACTTGATGTATGTTTCCGGCGATATGATTGTTGAAAATTCTAATTTATTGATTTATTTTTATTATTTGATTATTTATTTAATAGCTGGTAAAATAGCAGACAATGATATTGTTCTATGTTTCGTATAAATTTGCTGTTTTATTTCGCGACTAATATTTGAATGAGGTACAAATTGCTGAATAGAATTTGCTATGAGATTTACTAGATGACAGAAGACAATTTTGTTTTTTGATATATCAGAAAATAAAATAAAAAGATAACATACACTGTGATTTTTCTGTTGAATCTATTTGTAGACTCTATTGTGCGTTAATTGATTGAATAATTTTTTATTGATTACAGTCTGTTTTGGTAATATTCGAATATTTTCCAGCTGGTTGACACTTTTGCTATGGTTCACATTGTCGATTGCTTGCTGTGTTTCGGTTGAGATTCGTTCTGATGATGATTCTGCTTGTGAATCAGATAAAAGATCAGTTTTAGTATCCGTAATACCTTGATAAAGTAAAATAAAATAAAAATTAGAACATACAATATTTGTAATTTGTATTTAGTCGGTGACCATGTAGAAAAAAGAAATTTCTTACACTAGATAAATAACTGCATATATACTTCATTCTTGATGAAGAACTGTACGAAAAATAAAATAAGACTTTCTACTACTTCTATTTAGTAAGACCAAATTTTGAATATTCTATAAGATCATTGGATGAAGAAATTTTTTATTAAAGATTCCGGCTTTCCTTTTGTCTCGAGTTTGTTACGTATTTTTACCTAATATTATTCGATATAGTTTAAGCCAATTGTGACATATATGTTTGATTCGTTTTCTCAATGTAATCAATTCTTGTTTCATTGGCATTTGATCAAAATTGAATTTTCCATCGCATAATTGTTGAGAGTGCATTGGTTTTTTTTTGCAAATAGTTGAAGCACTATTTGAAATTATTGAATCCATTTTTTTTGTTTTTGTTGAATGAGTTTTTTCTTCAGAATTTTTTTCCAACGAAAATATTAATCCTAAATCTAGCGATGTCGACGTTTGTGAGGATAATGGCACACCTAATTGATAGTGAAACTTTTCATTTTGGCATCTAAATGAAAAACGTATATTTGATGAGTTTTGATATTCAAGTTGCATAAATGAATTTAATTGTAATTGAACTGTATCGCCAAATAATGCTGAATTAATATCATCGTTATCAGCTGAATTCCACCGAATTTGTTTTTCTATGATACCAGTTTTTACATCACATAGATAAGCAAATTCATGTTGATTATTAGTAATAAAACGAGCATGAAGTTTTGGTTGCATTAACAGTACATTACCAGCGTGTGTAACAAGACCAAGAAATTGATTTTCTATCGATTTTGTATCATTGAAAAAGATTGTAGTAGAAGATGACGATGGAAGACATAAGACAGCTAAACGACCAGACGGATAGCTAAATCAACCGGGGAAAAAAATATTAAAGTTTATCTCATGTTACACAATTTAATTGAGAAATTTCTTATAGCTTACTATATTTGACTTGAACCATCTGTTAATTCAATATAACATTTATGCTTTGTTTCAGATATATCTATATTAATATTGTACTTTTCTGGGATTTCATTTCGTAAAATCGCAAGTACAAATTTTGATTTTGGTCGTCCTAGAAGAACCAACTAAATAGATTTTCTCTTCTTTTCCTACCGAAAAAGAAAACTAACGATTAAAGTCTTTCACGTTAACAATGTGATTTTTATTTCGAATATTTCGATTATCTTCATAAAACCAAATTCGACAATTTTTCAGATGCTTCATGAACTGATTGCTAGTCGTTGCGATTCTATGTAATCGAAATAAAAATATATTTAATTAGAATAAAAAAGACGAAAATTCAAAATCAAACATTTTTTGTTTTGTTTCAGCTAATAAGCGTTTACATTTATCTTGAGTTAAAGCAATCATTTCGTCAAGATCATTATCGTCTAGTTTTCTTATATCGAATAAAACAACTAATAGAATGAGAAAAAATATTGATAAAAAAAAGTAAAATAATTTTTCTTTACTATTTTGTTTATCTAGATTAGATTTTTCTATTGTTTCATCTGTTTGTGTTGATAATTTAAATTCAACATGAATACCAGTTTTAAGGGTTTTCATTACATGATCTGAGCTTTCTTGATGAATGGCTTTTAGTAGACGTTGATTATCTTGTGAAATATTACTTGCACTTAACGATGTACATGATAGAGATTGATTAAAATTTATTTTTGAACTTCTTCTTAATGATTCTCGATGAGAAAGACTTGCTAATGTTGAACGACTTACGCATGAACTTGTTTGACGACGAAGCATTGATTTATTATCGGTAGTTTTTAGATGCATTTCAACATTGATTGACTGCGAATATTTTCGTTGAAGATATTGATGCCATGCTTCTTTGGCAGCTTTTGTATGCCACACCTTTTCATATGATACACAACAAATCAACTCTTCTATTGCATTAGAAAAAAAAACTTTCCCTTTACTTTATATTCATATTTTGCAGTTCGAATTAGATCAGACCATGTAGAATTTAATTGAATCACTAATGACTTTGGTAAAGATATATCAGATACGGCTTTTCTCCTATTGATGAATTCATTCTTATGATCGATATCTTGTTCGCCACAAATAGTTGAGGATCGATGAAACTTGAATGTACTAGATATTAATGAATTCATATCGGATTTATTATCAAAAATTTGCATAGTTCTATCTAATTCTTCGATTAAAATTTCAGGTATAATCGGTATTTTTAATTTACGTGGCGTTATTTGTACAGAAGGCGCTTCGCCGATTGGTTGATTTGTTTGCTTTTTAATTGAAATCGACATCGAAGTTTCTGATTGTTCTATATTTTCATCCATGATAGATAATGCTAATTTAACTTGATGTAGGGCTTGATTTAAATCTTTTGAATCTCTTTTAGTCCTACAAACGTCACGAATATGTGATGCACGTGAAAATTGATCGAAAAAATAAAAATCAGAAGTCATTTTTATATCTAGAAAGTTCGAATATTAATTTTAGTTCAAAACGATAAATGAAACAACTAAGAATCTCTCTTATTTTGCATAAACATCAATGTTACTTTTTTTTAATAAGCTACAATACAGAATTCATAAGTACTTTTTGTCCAGTCGATATGCCTAATGCCGCACCAAAGCTTGATGAGTCTGTACTTGTATTTGTTACTGTTTGAATTTGTGTTGGCGATGAACCTAATATATTATGACCAAATAATGTATAATCAGTTAGAAGATTTCCACTTTCCATCGCTTGTGCTTCAATTTTAGTAATAACAATATTATGTTTATTAACTTCACCAGTCATTATTTCAGTCATCTGTAATAAATTATCCAAGTGTGTATTTAACTGAGTAAAGTTAATTGCCATATCAATTTCATTCATCAAATATTCAGGCTGATCAATATATCCATAAGCTAATGAATGATGCTGTAAAAGATAATCCCTAGTTTTATTCAATTTTTTATCATTTTCTTCTGATTCTTTACGTTTAATGTCGTTTAATTGATTAAGAATTTGAATAAAATCGGCATGTTCTCGTCGTTCTCGTGCTAAAACACGTGTTCTAGTAATCATTTCTTCACGTTCTGTTGCCGAACTCTATTTTGTTTAACCTAGATGAAATTTCAAATGTATTTTCAAAACAATTTATTTACCCAACGAATTCTACTAAATGAATCAAAATTTTGTTCAATGGAATTTAAATCATGAGACGTTTTATTTGTTTTTATTAATTTATGTCGATATAGCTTTTTCCGATTCCTGTTTTTCCTGTTACTTTTTCCTTTTTGTTTCTTTCTATTTAAGCATCCAAAACAGGCAAAACCAAACAGAGTACCATTTGCGCAAGCACCACAACATTTTCCGCCATGAACTTCATGTAAATCGTCTGCTATATCTTTGATTTCTTTTTGCAATGTATTAATTAAACTATAAGATCGTTGCATTGAATCTCCTTGCAGAATTAATTTTCCTAAAGTTTCTTTCGCGATCAATTCACTAAAATGCAATTGATTAACAATATTATCTGTTGCTTGAACATCTTCATCTAATAAGCGCTCTTTACGATTTCGAATAAGACTGTTCCGAAAACGATTGATTATGTCTGTTGTTTGCTCAACAATTGAATGTCCACCACCACCATCAAATGTTCCTGTTGATGTACGAGGACTGTTCGTCATTGTATCGGAATAAACGAGCAAATAGTTCAAACAGAAGAAAAAGCAAATATTAAATAAAATAAAATAAAAATAAAACACAACTTGGAGACGCGCCTCGAGAAAAATTGAAACGAGAAGTAGAAAGAAAATTCTTTATTATGATCGTTGTGTTCTTGTAATAATAAAAGAAATTCTGGATCTATCGGAAACACAGTTTGAAATAGTTATGAAGTGTTGAATGCGATCTCCTCGGTGACAACAGACAGAAAAACTAACGTTTTATTCTATTCGTAGACTAACTAAATAGTAAAGACATTGTCTTCGTTGTAAAAAAAATCTAGGCAATGAGAAATATCATTTTTGTGTAAATGATTTCATATTATTTGAGAAAACTTTTCTCTTGAGATTTTCATAGTTCAAGATGTAATAATTTTGAAATTGCTTTCATATGAAAATGTTTCATTAAAAAAATGACGTCGAATGTGTGATCAATATCGTATTAAAAGTATTATTACAATTTTTTTTATTGTACATTAAGACAGTAATATGACAGTAATTTTTACTAGACTAAAGTATATACGCTCATCTGAAATAAGGAATTTATAAATGTCAAATACACATTCATTTTATCATGATTTTTTAAAATTTCAATGTTCATTTTAAAAGGAAAAAAATTATTGACAAAATAAATAAGAAAAACAATTCTAATCGAGTTAGAGCCTCAATTTTAATCATTTAAATTGAAAATATAACGAATACTACAATTGATAATTGGTACAAATAATTTACATAATTACTTGAATCTTTATTAAATTACTATTGAGTAGTTATTTAACAGTTTTGTTTGTTGAATAATAAACTTCTTCGTTGCCGCTTATCAATGAAAATCATTTACTTCAATATACAAAATTGAATTGCTTTGTGAAGAAAAGGAAAATGGAAAAGCTAATCTACTAAACATATGATGTGATAAACTATAATCTTTATGAAAATGTCGACTTTGATGAATCTAAATATTCTATAAGTATTCATTAAATTTTTCTTTATTTCTCTGATTCTATAGAATTATATTTTGTTAATAAAAACAGACATTTTATTGGAAGCCGAATACAGCATTGCTTAATGAGAATTCTGAAACTTAATCTGTCCTGATTAAAAAAATCAAACTCAATATTTTCTCTAGATATTTCATCAAATACGACGTATTGTTCCATATTGATTCTTTTCTTTTTCTGTTAACTTTAATTGGCATAAAATTAAACCAGTTTAACTTAACTATTTATGTGAATATGTTAAACGAAGTCTTTGTATTGTTTACTAGACGATGATTTTTTCTACTTTTTTTTATTAACATCTTATGTTTCGAAATATACACGCATAATTATATATACATAAGACGTCCACGAAGTCGTACAGCAAAAATGAATTTCTATATCTTCATCATGTTTGAATTGAATGAAATAATTTTTATGATATTAAAGAAGACCTCCAAATTTTTGTAACTAAATATTCCTATTTTCATCAATAAATAATGTTGCTAAGGTGAAATTGCTGTGAAACGTCATGGTGTTCTGGAATCCGAGAGCAATTCCAATGTTTTCAATAGTTCGATATAAGTGCTGTCATTTTTTATTGATTATAATGCAAATATCGTTTTACAAAAAGTATCAATGAAACAAGTTCTAATTATATTATGGAATATATGATGAATCATTTTTCGATACATGTACACGTATCTTCCTTATTAATTATTTGTGGAAAAACTATATGAAAATTTAACTTTAGGCGACCGTATTATAGAGCACTTCCATGTGTAACAATAACTAAAAGGATTCTGTGAGTATTGAATAAACTACATAGACTAAGTAAAAATTCAAATACCGCAATTAAATCATTTAAATTATTCAGAAAATATAAGAGTATGAGAAACTGGAATCATCTTACATAAGCCAATAATATATCGCTTAGGTTGGACAGATATGGCAAAGTTTTATTGTGCTCAGATACCAATAATTTTCAACACTCTTACTAAATGATTGCCGTATGGAAAAAAAACTTGAAGTTACGTTTTATTATCAAAAACAAATTAGTTCATTTGATTCTCATACGATAAAAATGGATAGATTTCTTTACGATTCATGACTTCCCAGGCACTCTGTAAATAGAAGCAATCGCCGAACAGAAGTGCGAGGTAGATAGANTTTCAATCATCCCGACGCCACACCCATCACTTACAATATTGTTTAATGGAATACATTTAACTATTGAAAATTTTAATAAAATGAGTTTGCTTATTAGTTTTCTATTTTGCAGAAAGAAGACGCGTAGCGTTTCGATCTGAGAACATTCTAACTGATTTGTCCTTTTCATTCTATTTATAGTAACGATGACTAACACTACTATGGAATGTTAGAAAAATATGTTTTTTTTTTGTATTACTAAGATTATCATTAATTAAATGTATTCCATTAAACAATATTGTAAGTGATGGGTGTGGCGTCGTGATGATTGAAACCCTTTCTCTCTCTCTCTCTCTTGCAGTGTGTCACGCTTGACGTGTAATCTTTCTTTTATTCATTTGTGTCTTTTCGTGGTTCGACATTTCTATCTACCTCGCACTTCTGTTCGGCGATTGCTTCTATTTACAAGTCATACACATTAATAAAATATAAGCAAGATTCGCGGATGTTGTGTCAGAGCTCCTCGAAGTGTCCGAGGTTGCGCGATTCGAAATGATTCGAATGGAGATGTGCAAGTTCATGTTTATTATATGTAATATCCGAACGAAGTAGAAAGTAAAAGAGCTCATCATCATCAATTGAACTTATCACAAGGTCAAACCAATCCAGTCGAATCAAGACTTGTAAAATTAGATGGATATGAAGCGTACAGCACCAATAGAAACTATCGAAGTTATTCTTGCTGATGGTCAGCAAGTGACAGTCAAGGAACCGTTCGATAGAGTACATCAAATCGAAAATGACTGGCTCTTCGTTATCGACAATACAAACATCCGTTCTGTTGGCAGCAGCAGCTAGAGAGAGACAGACCAATTGATTTTTGTGTACTCAAAAAGTGAGGACACTAGAATCGGTCAGTGTGTCCGGCCGGCCGGCCGTAGGCACGATAACTTTCGAAAGGAGAGTCAGATCGTGATGAAATTTTCCTCACAGTTCAATCTCATGAATATCTCGGTCGAGTTCGAAGATGAGAAGGATCCGTCAAGAAATGGTTGAGTTATCGAAAAAATTGTCATTTTTGACCAGACAATCCCTGAGGAGGAGTACAGGGATTTGTTTTCAAAAAACAAATNGTAGCTTTCTAACGAAACATCGCCTGAAAAACGTCTCAAAATGCACAAAAGCTGCATCCAGAAATCAAATTGCCTAGTTTCTCATGATAATTTTGGTGTTCAGACATTCTAGAATGACTCATATGTCCCATGCACTTTTTGCAGTACACATAAATCTTGGATGAAATCCGAAGTTTCCACACTTATTTTTAATGTAGTTTTAGGTGATGATAATTGCATTAGTGTACACTAACATTCTCTATTAGTCATGATAGGAGAGTTTTTTTTTCGCTTTCAATTAATCTTTCTAAACATTTCTGTCTCATTTATTTTTATATGATTTTAAAATAAAGTCTCTCATTTTTCTGAACGATTTAGAATCAATTGATTATTACATTGACGAAAAGTTAGGCAAATAGTTATTATAGTTCATGGAAAAACTTCCTTTTTCTTTATCATACATCGAAAATAATTTTTAAAAATCAATCGATATATATATATATAGTCTTTCGTACATTTAGTAGTTGGAAGAATGTATAATCTAAAACAAATACATCAATGAATAACATCAAAATAGAAACATGTTCAGGGAAATGGCGTGATTGCTTTAAGGCATTGATCGAACTAAAAATGTTGACCGTAGAAATATTTGAAAGCCGAATATTAAAGAATGGAAAAGTTAGAAGATAAAATTGTCGAAAGATATGCGTTTGAAACATTCTTGATAAAGATCAGATTAGTTTATGATTATTGAGTAGTTATTCTTGCAAACTTCAACAGTTTTTGACGTTCATCGGTGTTTTGTTCTCATGCAGCTTTTCATTTTCATATATTGTAATTGAAATATAAAATAAAGTTTTTCCACAATACATCTTTTCTATCGAATACCGAAGAAAGTAAGTAATACAATATTTAAAAACTTTTCGCAAAAAAAATACTACCGACTTCTTTTAGACCTTTTAATGTGAAAGTAAAATTTTGTGATATGGGTAAAAACTTTGGGCCTTATGAACAACAATTATAATTCTAGCATAATACTGATATTAAATATAACTTTTGAAATATAAAAGAAAGCATGTCTCTGAAAATTTATGAATTCTCATTCAGTCTATAATAATATTTCTGTATCAGCTTGACATCAAATCAAATATTTGTTTAAATAAAAGAACCATCTAATGTATTAGCCATGATAGATGAATTCTAATTGAATTCAAATAAAATACAGAGATGGATTGAAAATTTTGATATATTTAAAACAGTGTCCATGAGTGTTTATCTATCTTAAACGTATTCGATTCTAATCGTCTGATATTTATACTGGATATTGCAATTCTTGTATTTTTCTTTCATCATTATCTTTTTGCTCATGCCAATATTTGTTTTCTCTATTTTGATAATATCAATCTTTTACCAGTGAATCTGGTGTCATCTTCGTCTACCGATCAATTTTATGTCTTTTGTTTAATTCGAAGCTGAAAATACACTATTTAGTAGAATGATAGAATTATTTTAAAATATTGATTAGAGGTGTCCGAGTTCCCCGTTCCTAGCGTTCCGTTCCTAGGAACGGAAACGCATCGCCAGCTGCGATTTTAAAGAGATTCTAAATGACTCGAAGTTTTTATCCATTATTCTTTATCATTTTATTTCATAAAATTTTTCCGTACCCGTTTCTCAGAATGGGAACTCAGATAGTGTTCCCATTTCCAGGAACGAGAACGCGACATCCCTAATATTGATCACAAAAACTAGTAGTAGATTGGCTGATAATACCATTCGTAAAAGTAATAATAATTATGATGAGATTTAAAACTATTCTATTGTTAATTTATAATAAATAATGTTTAAAATTAAAATTATCTACAGAAGCATAGAGTGGAATATCGTTTTTTGTTGATCATTTTCTTGTTGATCTTTGTATTGTTGGATGTGAATGTGAATGTGATGGTAATGGTGGTCGAGCTGTTGTTGTTGTCGTTGTTGTTGCTTTTGTTTTTGTTCTTGGTGGTGCTGTTGGTGCTGCTGCTGATATTTGCGGTTGTTGAGACGACACAGGAGTCGAAACAACAGACGTTGGTGTCCAAAGAGTTGGATGAAGAAGCGTAGCTGTCGTTGTATGAGGATGAAATAATGTTCCAAATTGAGTTGTTGTTCTTGTTGCGCCCGTTGTTGTTTCAAATATTGGATTGAGTTGAGATGGACCTAATGTAAACTGATGAAATGATGGTTGCCGACTTAATGTTGATACATTTTCATTTTTTTTCTCCTCTTTTCCTTGATCATCAAGCCATCGACGTCGAATAGACGGTACAAGAAGAAAAATCAGAAATGCAGTTAATGTTATCATAAGAACGATACTGAACGCAGCAACAATAGTATTAGTTAAAATCAGATTTTCAAATATATGTTGACTGATCATATAAGATGGTAGAGTACTCGTAAGGTCAACTTGTTTATGTTCTTGTTTTAAGACAGTAGAAAAAATTTTACTTGTACTTGCTATTGTTGTATTTATTGTAGTCTTAATAGTTGATGTTGTTGTTGGTGCTCGAAAAATTGGAATAACAAAGGGTGGTGGTGAAACATGAAAAAGCTCATTTATTGCTCGTTGTTGTAATGTCACACAACACATTTCATGTGTATGTGTCAAATGTGTTCTATCGTGTTCTGACTTGTTTCTTTTTTTTCAATAAAACTCGTCAAAATTTTTTTTTTAGAAATTTGAAGGTAAACACGTGAAATAAACCCAAAAGATTTACATTGAAGATGATGTGAAAGCCGACGAAAGAATGTGATGATTACATAAATAAATATTAGAAGGTCACATTCGATTGTATTGAATGTAAGAATTAACTTATAATAGAATGCTAGAAGAATTGTAAAGCTTCTTCTAATTGAGTCTTAGCTTGATCTCGATTAGTTGACCATAATCATACATTTTTTCCCTTTCAAATCTGACAAAGATAATATTACAATATTTATTAATTATAACTTTGAATGTTAAATATATACCGATGATTATCTTCTTTTCTAGAAAAAAAATTATCGATTATGCCATACAACTAAGTTTATCCAATCTTTCTTTTCCATAAAATATCAAAATTGACAGTATGAAATGTTCTTATTAGATAAAATATCCATGATCTTTTATTTGTTTATCTAATCTAATTATTTAAAAGACAAACAGCTGCTAAGATTTATCAGCTCATTGTTATATATATATATATATCAAGTCATTGATATAAAACACACACATATCGTATTCTATTTCGATGTATATAATTCTTCAGACCCTGACATTTTTTTGGTGTTTCTGATAATTAACGATTGATAGAAAGATCTCTTGACTCATATACTATTAAGCAGTTGTTGCCAGTCATCTAGTCGTCGTTGAAGATGCAAGAGAATATATGTATGTCTATGTGTGTCTGGTGTATGTCGCATTGTCTACAATTGATGTTATTGTCCTTCAATTCTCATCATCATTATATACATTGTCGTCTACTTTCAAAGATATCCGAATGAACAACTGACGATGTCAATCTTTCATCTGTTCAAGATTGCGTGAAATAATCTTCAGAAGTAAAACACAGAAGGAAAGAGCAAAATTTATATATGTACACCTGCCAACAAGCCAATCAAATAGACAATTTCATCATTTTAAATGATGACTCAAGCTGATAGTGTTTGAAAATCATGTTTTCAGTCAAAAATAGTGATTCATTTTTTTATAATTGCTTATTTATGAAATAAGAAAAAAACAAGAAGCCAGAGATTAGTTATATGTAAATAGATGAATATAGACTAAAGACACCTATTCGATTTCAAGTAATTTGTATATTGAAGGTAATCATTTGATATTGTTAATCTGTTCAATTTAAAAATATTTATTCCCATTAATTTATCACATATCATTCGATATTACTTTTGATCTAAAGAAGATTAAGCTAAATGTCAATATGATTGCAATAGAAATTGTTCTATCTTAGTAGGTGGTCGAATATTGAAATGATTAACACATGAGTGCACAGTAGCAATATGTTTATTTTGACGCCCAGCGATTATACATATATATATATACAGTTGTTGATCAAAATGTCAGCTTCTTCTCAAAGCTTCTTATCCGCTTTAGTTCACACTGTGAGAAGACTTTTAAACTATATTCTATATATGTGTATGTGTATGTGTGTGTTAAAACATAATTTGTCTCGGCCTAGCTAGCTGACATCCACACATACGACGTGCAAAAAGTCATGACTGATTGATGTGTATGTGGTCACTAGTCAACATCGTCATTGTCGATTGCATGCATGCAAACGAACGATTGTGATGAACACATACATATTCACACACACAAAGGCAAAGAAAAGGAATAGAGAAAAGGGAACTATAAATGAACATTAAAGAGTATTTCTCCTTTGCTCTCTCTCTGTCTGTCTCTCAGCTTATTGCACAGTTGCCGATGAAAAGAGAAAAAGATATTGATTGTATTTGCTTCAATGCAAAGTAACAGCAGCGAAAGAAGCCGATTTGAATCGATGCGTATAATCGAGTAGTACTAGTAATAGTATTGTATGAGCAAGTAAGCACAGTAACATTCAATAATCGTTATCAGTCCAGTATGTAAGTACTCAACTGAAAGAAAAAGTGTGTGTGTGTGTGAAAGAAGAAAAGCATTATTTGATCAAGAACAATATGCGACTAAGTATTTTAAGTATAGAATTTTGATTATTAAAATACGATAATTATCGATAACGTGTGCATTTGTTGTTCTTAGTTGAGCGTGTTCAAACATTTTTCATTTGAAAATCCTCTTTGATTCATTCCACTTGAATAAGACAAAGCATGCTTAGACGATATGTGCACGCTACAATCATTAAATTCAAAGCTTTTTCTTTAACATTACAAACAAATTGATTTTAATATCTAGTATCAATCATCATCATTTTTCTTCCGGTTTGCATCTTGATTTCATCGTTATCATCAGATTTTCTTTCTTCTTCTTCTAATGTTTGTTGTTATATAATGTAATAAAGAAGGTTTATGTTCAATGAACCGTAAAAAAACAGACATACAATGACGATGATGATTCTTTTTCCTTTTTTTCTTGGGGTTACTTTATTCACAATCTCTTGAGAAGGTGAGTTCGTCAACCATTATTGCGGTTTGATTGATGGACGACAAGTGAAGAAATGATGATGATGTAATCATTGTATTAAATTCTTTTTTAGTTGCTTTCATTGATCAATTATTCGATGTTAGAGAGTGTAGGAAAAGAATAAGTTATATATGTATTTATGTGAGTTGCACACATTTGATTAAGTGGACAAACAATATATCTATAGGAAAAGGCGAAAGTCTGTCTAACTACTCTTCTTGTACGCTGTCTCTCGTGCATGAACGAGTCCGAGTAAGTGACCAACTCCGGAAATTTTCATTAATGTCTGCATTGAGTGAGAACAAAGAGAAAAAAGAACAAGTCAGGTCATCGTTGTCGCCTTCGTTCAATCATCATCAGGTTCTCTTTTTCTTTTTTGACTGTGTTGTTTCTCTCATTGGTGCTAATTTCTTTTATTTCCGAAAAATCACATCGATCGATCATTCATCGTCTGCACGCGTGCGCCATCGTTGTTATTCGCATCAACAATATACATCGATGTATATAGAATCGTTTGATCGAGTCTGGTGAACACGAACCGACGTTTGATCATATGCTTGTCTATTGATGTTCATGTCATTTTTATTTAGTACGAAAAATAGAAGAGGAGGGATAGAAAAAACATCACCATCAACAATCGTATAAACAGAATATCCTTGAATTGTCATCTGTTTCATGATGCTGACCATTATTCTATCTATAAAGAAAAACGTGTTCACAAAGATAATAGGCGGAAAGACAAATATCAATGTTATTATTATAGATAAACGACAGAACAGGACACTATTAAATAGTCATGCATACGTGTTCATTCATATATACACATAGAACTATAGCTGTAAGAAAGACGAGAACAAATGTTATTCAATTATTTGTTAATAATGAAACAGAAAGAGAAAAAGATCGATATTGATATCCTGCGAATATCTTACTTTCTTTTCTTCTCTTTTTTTTAAATAAAACTTTCACTTTAATTGTTTAGATATTTGAAATATTCAGATTATTTTTTAATATAAGTATGTACAAACAACATCAATAATGCCTATAGTTTGGAACAGAAATAGAACTCGTTAAAGGCTCTTACATGTCAGCATTCTTGTTCTCGATAATTTAACTAATCATCAAACGTTTTTTCCTTTTTGTCTCATGTGATTCTGGTGTTAGCAATAGCCGTGGCCCGAAGGTCTTTTTTCCATTCTGATCCATCTCCATTTTCTCATTTCATTCGTATTGGAATTGCAATTGAGTTGCATCATGTAGCTATATAGGAAGACACATTTTCTTCTTTTTTTTTATTTCTTCATTCGATCTTGCTTAAGGAAGAATGTGCCCTTTTTTCTTCTTCTTTTTCCTCTCTCAAAGTTTGAAAATCAATTATTAAGCTTAGTCTTAGTAGAAGTATGATACGAAAAAGATTAGATAATAATATTTCTTTCTATATGATAATAAGGATGACACAAAGCAGCAAAAGGAGAACATGAAAATAGTGTTTATAAAATTAGTTGAATGAGTAGAGTTGGCCACTTAGCATCTGTCCATTTGACAGTACAAGTGTTGCCACACGGGGACGATTGAGTTATACGTTGTTTGTTTATCTGAAAAAGCTCGTTTACATAATAATGAGGGAGAAAGAAGAGACTACACTAGAAAGATACACAATCGAGAATATGACGGAAAGAAAAGCTAAGAAAAGGTCATGATACTACTACCCAAGGAAGCGTTTCAAGAAAAATTCTACAAACATTCATCTATCATCAATCTATTTTACTTAGATTGTCAGCCATTTGGTTGAGCAGATATCGCTAGTAAATATGTCTCCAGCGGCGATACATACTATTATTATCTTGTCCTTTTCCAAACACGGTAGGGCGGTACATTGGATGAATTCGATGGGTGGAGAAAAAAGGAAGAAGTAGAGCACGAAAAAAAAGAACAAAATAGCGTTTTTCGCTTTTAGAATCAGATCAAGTTTGTTTAAAGAGAATATAAAATACTACTTCATTATAATATTTCTTTTCTTCTACAGTTGAAGACAGAAGCCATGCAAAAACAAACAAGAATGTCTATCATCATCCAGTAAAGGCCAAATAATTAAGTGGAAAGAAAACTTCTTGATTCTATCGTGAATATGTCAACATTTCTTCTAATTTCTTTTGCTATTTTGAAATTTATGATAGAAATGACATATTTTCCAATGCACTAGCTAACTATAATACTTTGTCTTTTTGAACAAGATTTGAAATCCTTATTCAAATAAATAAATTCTTTTTCTTCTTCTTCAAATGAGTACATAGATTTGACGATGCAAAGCTTTGTAAGCATTTCTTGGACTAAATAGCAGGTGTATTTAATAGATGGTTAAGAAGTGTCGCGTCACTATTTTAAGTTGGCAATCAAAATTCATCTGGTAATAATCGCCTTTGTGCCTCCTAGTATTTATGACAATTTATCTTTCTTTTCTCTTTTCTTTCTGT